CCACGGTGTGCCATGGCCTCCTCCTTGGGGACCCAGAGCAGCCATTGCAGGACCCCAACTCTTGGCCCCAGCAGACCAGTGTCAATGCATCAGGGACCACGCATGGATGGCAGGAGAGATGCAGAGAGCTGCATCGAAGAGCCGCTGCCTGCAGTTGAACTGGGAAGTATAAACCAACCAAGAAGCTGGCACTAATTAAGAGCTAATGGCCCGACAGTGGAGCTCCGCCAAAGGATAACGACCCTCTAGCTGTAGCATAAATAGCACAGCATTTGGGGAAGAGCCAAGACATATATTCTTCAAGTTCCTTAGGCATTGCCGCAGCCTGCCTCAGCCTTGCTCTGCGGAGAGGAGGAACAGGATGGCAGACGGAGGGCAGAGGGCTGGATCTGCCAAGGCTGCCCGCTGCTCCACTGGGCAGAAAGCCACAGGTGATTTGTGGAAAGGACTTTGCAGACTTAGAACTTGAGTGTCCTGGGCTTGGCACAGTGATCTAGCGGCTAAAGTCCTCGCCTTGAATGTGCCAGGATCCCATATGGCTGCCAGTTCTAATACCAGAAGCTCTACTTCCCATCCAGCTCCCTGTTTGTGGCCTGAGAAAGCAGTCGAGGACGGCCCAAAGCCTTGGGACCCTGCACTCCCTGCATGGGAGACCCAGAAGAAGTTCTTGGCTTCGGATGCGTGCAGTACCAGCCGTTGTGGTCACTTGGGGAGTGAATCATCGGATGGAAGATCTTCCTCTCTGTCTCTCCTCCTCTCTGTATATCTGACTCTGCAATAAGAATAATAAATAAATCTTAAAAAAAAAAAAAAAAAGAACTTGAGTGTCCCTCAAGAATCACTGAAGGGTCTGCATAGCAGCCAAGTCCTCTGCCTGGAGCAATAGCACCCTGTGTGCATACCAGTTAGTGTCCCGGCTGCTCCACTTCCTAGCCAGCTCCCTGCCTGTGGCCTGAGAATACAGCAGCAGACAGCTCAAAGCCTTGGGACACTACACACTCATGTGGGAGAGCTATAACAGGTTCCTGGCTTCAAACTGACTCAGATTCAGTTATTGTAGCCATTTAGGGACAGAACCAGTATCTCCCTCTGATTCTTATTCTTAAGTAAAATAAATAAATCTTTGAAAGAGAGTAAGTCTTTCTTTAAAACTAATAGTCACTGAAATGTTGATTCTCTGTGCCCCTCCCCCTGCAGGGTCTGACTTCTGACTTCTGCAGACCTTAGGGTGAAGCCTAGTAGTGTGTATTTTTTAGTGATTTATTTTTATTGAAAAGGCAGATTTGCACAGAGAAGGAGAGATATAGATAAAGATCTTCTGTCCACTGGTTTACTGCTCAAATGGCTGCAATGGCCAGAGCTGAGCTGATCCAAAGCCAGGAGCCAGGAGCTTCTTTCTGGTCTCCCATGCAGGTGCAGGGTCCCAAGGCTTTGGGCCATCCTCTATTGCTTTCCCAGGCCACAGCAGGGAGCTGGATGGGAAGTGGAGCAACTAAGATATGAACCAGCACCTATATGGGATCCTGGCACATGCAAGGTAAGGATTTAGCCTCTAGGCTATTGCTTCGAGCCCCCAGGAGTGTGCCCTTTAAGCAGTTGTTTCCAAGCAATCTCCATGTCAGCGATCCTCAGACCACTCCTGTAAAATTCTGTTCTAGGAGCTGCCTGTATCAGTCCCTTGGACACCAATGAATGTGTCTTTACAGCATGAAAGTGAGGTTAGTTTTCCGTACTTGCTGTGAAACACCAGTCAGGAACACAGCACAGGCTATGTGGCGTTTCTAGCCCTTCTCTGCCATGGTCTTTGTGTTCACACCCACCTGGGGTTATGATGAGCAGGATTCCAGAGGACGAGAGCTAACCCGGGGTCCAGAGAGAGAGGCAAGCATGCAAGCAAGCATGCCATGCGTGTGCCAGGTCTGCATTCCCTGCTCACATTCTCCTGCATAGGAGCACACTGCAAACCTCCAGGGCAGTAAGCAATTATTTTGTCTGGTTTAAAGCTGAGAAACTGTAGGCCTAGAGGTATGTCTTGCCTCCTGTGTTGGACAAGACACCAGAAAGGAGAGTGGGAAAGCAGTCACAGCATTGCAGTTGCAGCAAGCAGGGCAGGAAAGCGAAACCGGTGACGAGCTTGACCGACCTGGATCGGGTTCGTTATCTCGCTGTTGGTTGTCAGATTTGGCCAATCCTGTTGTGAAAGGATTGACAGGTCAGATTGTAAAAATAGATGGGAGATCTGCCTGATACAGGCAAGCAGAGGATGAGACTCTGAGAGAAAGAAGCCACCCTATCATCTGGGAAAACGAAACTGCTTGGCAAGACTTCACAACAGCCTGATTCAAAATTTCATAATGAAATTATGTCTCTGATCAAAGCCCGAATGAGCTCATGGGCTGATTTTTGCCATTCGTGTTTATTCTGGTTTACACCAAGCTGAAGCATCCGAAACGCATTAACCTCATCTTCTCTCCGGGAGGAGGCGTTGTCCCCTCACTTGGGGATCAAAGGGACAGGACGGGGTGCAAGGGTTGGGGTGGGGGGCTGTGAAGATCCTCAGTGAGCATGGCTTGTTTTCCACGGAGCTCTCTGAGGCCCTGAGACACATATCAGAGCCAGAGCCGTCCTTGCAAAGTTTGTGTGGAATTTCAGGTCAGCTTCCCTTCCCCTCTGCTGCCCCCGGAGACAAGGAAAGTGAAGATTCTGGGAGAGAAGACACTTTGAGTTCTCCTCCAGGACATGGCCTGGGTTGGCGCTAAAAAGATTGTTTTGGGGGGGTTTGTTTGTTATAGACTCAGAGAACTGAAGACTCAATCATTCATTCTTCAATTAGAGTACCTCCCTTTCTAACAAGCTGTTTGTTTTTATGCAACGGCCAGAGGACATTACAACATTATACAGTCCCGCCTTTCCTCTGCCTTACCATCTCTTCTTTGGCTTGTAGAAAGCCCTTCCTGACCTTCAGGGGTGTCGACCAAGACGGAGGGCTTCTTGGTGGACGCACTGACCTGTAGACACCTGGCTCGGGCTGGCGGAAGGGTGACCTGTCCTGGTTGGCTGCCCTCCTCTGCTCTGGCTGCGGGCTGCAGAGTCTTCCCGGCTTTGTTTCTGATGTGGTTCTAAGTCCTGAGGACACAGCAGCACACCTGCTCAGGAGAGCCCTGCTTTCAAGAAGTTACATTCTGGCTTTGCAGAAGCAGCTCCACTAACTTGCACATAAAAGCATTCTGTGGGACCATGTGAGCAGGGGTAATTCAGGAAGGGAGAAGGGGAGGTAGCTGATTTAGAATATCCAGGAAAGAGTTCTCCCAGTAGGATGATCAGCAGATAAAATGTAGGCGGTACAGTTCAGCTTGAATTTTGGGTGAACCATAAAAAATGCTCCTTTGTAAGATTTTATTTTTATATGAAAGGCAATGTTACAGAGAGAAGGAGAGATAGAGAGGTGTTCCATCTGCTGTTTCACTCCCCAAATGGCCACAATGGCTGGAACTGGGTGACTCTGAAGTCAGGAGCCAGGAAGGGCTTTTGTTTTCCCCCTACATGTGCAGAGGCCCAAGGGCTTGAGCCATCCTCTGCTGCTTTCCCAGGCCACAGCAGGGAGCTGGATGGGAAGTGGAGCAGTCAGGACATGAACTAGCACCCCTATGGGATGTTGGGGCCGTGTGCGGAGGCTTTTACCTACTATACCATAGTGTTAGCCCTCTAAGATTATTTTAGTACAAGTATGTCCAAGATTGTATTTATGATATTATAAAAATTTTGATTCTTTAACTGAAATTCAAATTTATCATCTTTTTATCTCTTAATACTTGCAGCTTTATCAGCAGGTGACGTTTGATCTGAAAAGGAATGACCAAAAGGAAATGGCTTGTGTCAAGACTCAATGAAGGGCCCTGCTTTGTGGCATAGTAAAGTTGCCACCTGTTGCCAGTATCCCATATGGATGCCAGTTCGAATCCCAGATGCTCTACTTCCTATCTAATCTCCTGCTGATGTCCTGGAAAAAGCAATGGAAGAGGACCCAAGTGTTTGGATCCCTGCATCCACGCGGGAGACCTACAAGAAGCTCTTGGATCCTGGCTTTAACACAACCCAGCCCTGGCCCCTGGAAGCATTTGGAGAATGAACCAGTAGTTGGAAGTTCTCCCTCTCTGCTTCTCTAACTCTACTTTTCAAATAAATAAATATTTTTAAAAGAGAGATTCAAGGAAGGATTGATTCGGGAAGAGGAAAAAGGCAATGCAAATATTAAAATAACCACAGTTAGCAAGGAGTGATGTCAGATAATCAGGCAGAGGAAAGCACAGGATTCTGTAGAAACTACAGAATTTGAATCCTAAAAGAGTGTTAACCCATTAGAATTTTTAAAAAATTGATTTTTAAAAAGATTTATTCTTTTCTTTCATTGCACAGTCAGATGTACAAAAAGGAAGAGAAGCTGAGAGGAAGATCTGCCTGATGACTCACTTCTCAAGTGCTGTGCCGATCCGAAGCCAGGAGCCAGGAACTTCCTCCAGGTCCCCCATGCAGGGGCTTTGGGCTGTCCTGGACTGCTTTCCCAGGCCACAAGCAGGGAGCTGGATCGAAAGTGGAGCAGCCAGGATACTAACCATTGCCCATGTGGGATCCCGGTGCGTACAAGGTGAGGATTTCAGCCACTTGGCTACTACACCAAGGACCAGCCATTAGAATTTTAAGGAAGAGGATGACACGTAGTGACAAAAAGTTGGCGTTTGTAGGGGACAGCTACATTTGGAAGAGCTTAGAGAACAAATTTAAAACGTAATTAAACTTGAGTTTATGTCATTGGCCCGAGAAGAGGCATTTTCATTTGGAAGTGGGTCCAACCACAAGCTCTGGGCGGTTGCTATGGAGGGGCAGCTTGGCGGTTGCTAGGGCGGGGGCGGAGCCAGGGGCGTGGCAGCACGCGCCTCCCTTTCCAGGAAGTCGCTCCGGTGAAGGGCGCGGCGCGAGCGGAAGTGACGTACTCCTTGTCCACGTGGTCTGGCGTGATCCACGCGGGTTGTTTCGGCCGGGCCTGGAAAGTTAAGTACTCGTCCACCTGCCGTGAGCCAAGACCTGGATCTCGGGTCCCTGTTGAGTCGGCAAGATGGTGAAGCCCAAGTACAAAGGACGGAGCACCATTAACCCCTCCAGGGCCAGCACGAACCCGGGTACGGCGGCGGGGCTGGCGGAGGCCGGGGGAGGAGGGGTCCCAGGTGGTCAGGGCGGGAGTGACCTCGAGCCGACTGGCCGAGGGGAAGGAGGGCCGGATATGCGGCAGGTTCTCCCCTCTGGAGGCACCGAGGAAAGCTGACATCTTGCCTGGCTGACGGGCCCAGGTGTATGTCACCTGGTCTGAAAGTCTGGGGCGCGGTCAGTGGGGCTGTGGAGGCCTGAGGGGGTCCAGGCCCCCCAGCGGGCCTTCTGCGCTTGACCACCTTCGCTTGCCCATTTCAGTGGCACCAGAAGGGTGGATTTGGCTCTTGGAATCTCTTAACGTGTGTAGAAAACCCCAGAGATGAATAAACAAGGTCGTTCCGGTTCAGATATTTTGGAAGATGCACGTACATCTTGTCCAGTTTCCAGCATCCTTAGAGACGGTGGGGCAGCAAGTTGGCACAGCCAGGAAGTGGGAGGGTTCCCTGGGGCTGTCACGCCAGCCTGTCTTCTTCCGTCGCTTTGAGGGGCTCAGAAAAGGAAAAGCTGGGCTCATGTTCCCTTGCGTGTACGACGGTCTCTCCCTCGTTGAGGCAGCTAGAGTTGCTACACCTTTTGCTGTTTATCCCATGAAAGTCTGCAGTTTCTGAGTCGTGAGACTGGCACGTGTGTGTCAACCCTGTGGTCTGTGTGCTGCCTTGCCTGTTGCGGGCAGAGCTAGGGGTTTGTCCAGCAGGAGCACAGGGATGACATGACCACAGGCAAATGTTCACATCCTGACTGTGCGTGCAAGAGTGACCTTGGGCAGGGTGTCTTACACCTGTGTGCCTCGACGTGGGGCGTTTCTGTGGGTGAAATGAGCCACGATTGTGCACCAAGATTGACATGCTCGTGTCATGTCCCATGCCAATGTTTCCGTCCTGGAGCAGCGTACGGAGAGGTGGTGTGGTAAGGGGGGCAGCTTGCCTGGTGTGGCCGGAAGACCCAGGTTGTCTTCACCAACGACCGCTCTTGGATTTGTTAGTGGTCAACTAGTGTGTTGTCTGATTGTACCTTTCTCAGATCGAGTACAAGGTGCAGGAGGCCAAAACATGAGGGACCGGGCCACCATCCGGCGCCTGAATATGTACAGGCAGAAGGAGCGCAGGTAAGGCTGGGGTGCTGCCCTCCCGCACTCTTCCCCACGCCTGGACTTGGAGCCTTTCGGGTCCCCACCACTGTCCGCTCCAGGTAGCAGTACTCTCAAATGGAGTTTTTACAGGTGGATCGTTCTAGTCCATCCTGTGTTTTTGGCGTGAGGCCTGGGCAGGTGGTGAGTCACAGTACCTCCCCACAAGTGGAGGTGTTGCGTTCCTGACGGCCCTCGTCCCTAGAAATGGCCCATCGTGTCTCAGAGTTGAAGATTGATGAGCCGGAGCTGCAGCGCTTGTAGGACTATGGTCACGACAGTGGCCGGGAAACTGGACAGTGATGCTAGGCTTGAGATCCTAACACTGCGGTTCTTGGAATCTTGTTCCAGCCACGGTTTCTGCCACAGAGGGACTTGCTGAGTGTGGTGTTTTGCTAGCTGCTGTTAATTTGGCCGGTAATTAAATTCCTGCCCTGTCCTGAAAGAGACGTCTAGAACAAAGGGCGATGAACTTCATCTGCCTTAGTCACCTTCTCTGCCATTTGTTTTAGGTCGAGTTCCAGCATAAATCACCCTCTGCTTAGAATTCATTTAAACCAGGTTTCAAAGAATTACTCAGAAAACTCGAGTATGTGATGTTTTTAAAAAAAGCAAACAAACAGTAGATGGATGTTTAAACATCAGCCTTGTTATTCAGCTAGCAGAAATCATTACGTGCTCTGTTGCAAGAGATTAAATGGCTTTCAGGCAATCTGTTTCAAATGTAGAAGTGCTCTTTGTTTACCAAAATCTGTATTTCATGATCCTTTGAAAAAAAAAAAAAAGCCCTTTTGATGGAAAGCGTGTTCTGTAAACTAAGCTTTGCTGTGGCCTTCCTGGTGATGTAATCCCAAATCTGTTGTTTCCTCAATTTAGGAACAGTCGTGGTAAAGTGATTAAGCCCTTGCAGTATCAATCCACAGTGGCTTCTGGCACGGTGGCGAGAGTAGAGCCCAATATTAAGTGGTTTGGTGAGTATTACCCGCTTTACTTTGCTCTCCCCAGTGTGTGTTGTATGCAGAAGGCTAGGCCGTGTCTGTGTCTCCCAGGCAGGACCCTGGCGTGAATGGAACTGTCACGGGTTCTGTGGCAGAGGACATAGTGCTGAGAAGATTAACGGGTTTAAAAGCCAGCCGCTCTCCTTTGGAAGAGCGCTCGCCTTTGCTGGCTGTCGGAGTACCCTGTTGGGCTGGCCGGCTGTCCTTAGTGACTGGGCTGGCTTTCACAGACCTTGAACTCACCTCACGGTTCCCGTAGCAATCACTGCTGGAGACGTGACGCTAGTGCCCTTAGCTCACAAGGCACACCAGCGTAAAGTTCCTCTGCAGAACTTGGTGTTAATGAACTTGTACTTGAACTTGCGTAGCACTTAAAGAGCCTGATTGTTGATTGGTCCTTCTAGGAGTGAGTGGAGTCACAGGAGGAGTGAGAGTTTTTTTTCTTTGGGGAAAGCTCCTCCCTCCGCCCCATTTCACGCTGGACTTGCCCTTAGCCACCAGTGGGTGGGAGCCAAGGGAAGGCTCACTTGCTGGCAGGCTCACCTCTGGGTTTGGGTACAGGTGGCATCTCCCAGTGAGTGCCTTTCTGCGTCCTCTGATCAGATAGCCCCTTTAGAGCTGCCCTAGGCAAGTGTCAGAGAAGACTGTGGAGACAGACTGAACGTGGTGAATGGGTATGGGCCTGTCTAGGTCCAGACTGCCTGAGCTTGACTTCTACTTCTGCCGTTTCCATGGCTGTGGGCAAGTGATGGAGTCTGTCCACCTCTCAGTTTCCTCTTCCCTAAAGTGGGAAGAAGTGCAGTTTGCATCACACAGCAGTTAGGGAAGTGAAAGAAGAGATGCGGAATGCCTAGTGCGGTCCCAGCACACAGTGGGCCCAGTGTGTGCACTCACTGCCTCAGTGTTGCATTTGTGCTGTAAGGTGGGCTGTTTAGTGGAATACCTCCTCAAGGCAGGCTGTCAGGGTTTTCTCCAGCTTATACCGTGTGGCTATACTTTGTTCCTTTGCTGGGATGGTTGGGTTCACAGAGCTGCCCCCCCATCCCCCTCACCGTGGGCTCCAGGCCTTCTTGGGCATCGGTACTTCAGGATCCTGTCAGTGCCGACTGGTCAGCTGGGATTGCTCCAGGTTCCTCTGCCAGAGCGAGCAGGAAGTAGGACAAATCTCCAAAGTCAGTTCCATTCAGTGAAGTTTGTGTTTCAGCACCAGCCAGTCAGGAAGTTGGGCTTGGAGAGCTGAGAGCTCCATTTGTGTGTCTGTGTTGGTGGATTAGCTCCTGGTGCAGGAGTGCAGGGGAAGCAGTTTTGAGGTGGCTTGCTCTCCCTGCCTCCTGTATGGTTGGACATGGTCACAGGAGTGGCCGTGTTGGGTGCTGGGGCACAGGAGGGCGATTGAAAATCTTGCTGGTGCCAGTATCACTGGGAGGATGGAGACAGAAGCCGTTGGAGTTCTTCATTAAGTAGCAATACTTGATTTGTAAAACAGGAAATACACGTGTGATTAAGCAGTCGTCACTGCAAAAGTTTCAAGAGGAAATGGAGACGGTGATGAAGGATCCGTACAAAGTTGTCATGAAGCAGAGCAAGCTGCCGATGTCTCTTCTCCACGACCGAGTCCAGCCTCACGTAAGCCGTGGGATTTCACGGGCGCATTCCACACAGATACCTTCCCGGCCTGGTTGGCCTTGGCCTTGGGCAGCAGTGACAGGCTTCCTGAGCCTTCTCATTTCCCCTCTGTCAGGGTCTTACCTGTAGCATGTAAGCAGTCAGAGTCATAGCACAGGCTGTGGAGTGACACCTGAGTGATTTGTTCTGCCTGTTAATGTGGACTCTGCCTGTGATGGACAGGTAGCTCTCCCCGGTGGATGGCTGGAGGTGGATGGGACGTGGGCAAGCTCCAAGCAGATACCCCACCCCCTGATGAGCTGAAATAGATGGGCGCTGTCAGTAGTGATTGTTTTGATCTCAGTGTATTTATCTTTGTAGGCACATTCATTTAAGTAGTGATTCTATCAGACTATAGGAGGGATGTAGGGTTAGGACTGGGCAGGTCCAAGTCCCTTCCAGCTTTTGTGAGACCCCTGACGATTCTGTGCAGAAACGCGGGTACAGGAGAGACTAGGTCTGGCTTGAGTGGCATGAGGTTCACACAGGACAGGGAGATGGGCTCGTGCTAGCCTGCATGTCTTCACTTTGCATTGAATAATAATTCCCAGAAACGTATCCAGCACATACACTTCAGTTCCCGAGTGGGGAAGGCAGGAAAGCATTGACATGCATGCATAGATCAAACAGTTCAAAGACAAGTGTTTACTTCCAGAACAAAATAAAAACCAAGGCCTGGTTATTGCCTCAGGTTTTGTCAATTATGTTTTGTTTTATGATGGACTAGAAGAATGGCACCTATTAGTGGAATGACTGTTTTCTTTCAGGGAAGCACATGAGTGTAATTCATGAACCACAGACAAGTTGCTCATTTCCCCTGTTCTCTTTGTCTGTTCTCCCTGAAGCCATGTTTTAAGCAACTATTGAATCCTGTTTATGGGAAGAACAGAGAAGTTCTGTTACGAAGTCATTGCTTTGTTGCTTGCTCCAGTTGTTCAGGACTTTTAAGATTAGGGCTTGAATATCTGCCTTGTGGAATAGGATCTACAGCTGCTGTGTTCAGCTGGCATCTTAATACAGAAAGCTTCATGGAATCATTGCCAAGTTTTCCGCTTTAGTCTTGATGTTAGTACGTTACCTATTACTTCCTGTTAAGTGGAATTCAGAGATGGTTGGCACAGTAGTATCAGATCAAACATGCTTTTCGACTTGGCCACGTTCGTGCATGTGTGGACGAGAATGTGATTTCCGTAGCAATACAGTAAAAATGCTGTAACTTACTATACGTGTGTATGGTAGGTCTTACTGCGTTGTACCCACTGACGTGTAAGCTTACAGACAAATCTATGTGCACTGTCCTGGTAGACTGTCAAGGCTGTCTGTGGCTGTACTTGATGACGCCTCTGATCCTTGATGCAAGGCAGTGGGTACCAGTGGGCTAAGAAATGGACTGGAGGATCTGACAAGATGAGGGTGTCTCCTGGAGCTCTGAAATTGGGTAGGGGGGATCCGTTAGAGTTTGGAAGGCACAGGCTTGCTCTGTCTTCCTGAGTTTGGGGGTGTCACACTTTTAAGGAGGAATTCATGTTACAGGGGAGAGGATGGTTTTTCTTTTTCTTTTCTGAAGATTTTCTGCCAGCTGTTAACATTCTGTTACGTGATAGATCCTAACACAAACTTGGACTTTCATCCTGCTTCAAAAATTCCCTGTGCCTGTAACTGCTCCACAGGCACATCAAGTCCCAGTTAGGATCAGGTTCCTTTATCACATCTGAAATTTTATTTTGGACTTTTGCTAGATGTTTTTCATCTGAAGGCTTTCCATGTGCATTTAATAAAAGACCTTACCTAAATTAGGGAAAATGTTATCTGAAACTAAAATGCATTGTACAAAACAAGCAATTGCTTTTAGCCATGAAAGAAATTTAACTTCCAAGAAAAAGTTGGCATTTACAGTTGGTTTAAAAAAAAAACACAAGCTTGAGTATGATTGTCCTTGACAAAATCTGCGAATTTGGCGAATTTTCCGCACTTGCTTGAAAGCTAACAATAAAGGGTTAGAAATGATAACTTGATTTTCATCATCATGGACGAAAGTTTAGGATAAAGCAGAGTTGCTGGCAAACCTTACAACATGGTTCGCATTTGCTTGGATTGTTTGTGTTACTCTTGTATTTCTCCAAAGAGGTTTACAAAAATTCACAATGGGGAACAAGTGCGTGTGCTATTTAAACAAGCATTTCTAACCTGAAAGCAGACAGCTGGCACGTTCTTGTAGATTCTGGTGCGGGTGGAGTTTTGGGAAGATAAAAGCAGAAGGCCTTTCTTAGGTTTATTTTTTCAGCTTTGAGCTCTTTCTTTGACTGACCTGTCATTTTCCTCTCCCTTCAGAACTCGAAGGTGCATATCCTTGACACCGAAAGCTTTGAAACAACTTTTGGGCCCAAGTCACAGAGGAAGCGCCCAAATTTACCTGCGAGTGACATGCAGTCTCTGGTGGAAAGTGCTGAGCTGTCCACTGAGGGCTATGACCAGGGCAAGGATCGCGACCTAGTGACCGAAGACACTGGGGTGAGGTACGCTGATGGTACTCCAGGCCTGGTTGTCTTTGCGCTGATGTAACCCAACATTGCCTGCACTTGGTCTCTGCTAAGCAGCGCTGTGCCATGAGGCGGCCCAGCCTGGTCGCTACAGCTGTGTTACTCATGCAACTCAGCATTACGCGGCCGTGGATTCACTCAGTCTCCAAAGTCTTTGGACTTTCTGACTGGTCCTGTATTGTGCCTATTTGCATTTTTTTCCTCTTCCCAAAAGTGTAGTAAGTACTGGAGAGAAAGACACAACATTTTTTTCCCTCTCTTTTATAATTTATTTCTTTTGAAAGAGTCATAGAGAGAGGGAGAGATGGAGACATACACAGAAATCCGTGCTCTGCAAGGACCCTGCATCCCTCCCCAGATGGCTGCAGCAGCCAGGCAACTGGGTCAGGCAGCAGCCGGGAGCTTCTTCCTGGTCTCCCCCTCAAACACTGGGGCCATCGTCCGCTGCTTGTCCCAGGCCATTACCAAGGTGCTGATGGAAGTGGAGCAGCCGGGACACAGGCTGGCACCCATCTGGGATGCTGGTGCTGCGTGTGACAGCTGTACCCACTATCCTGCAGTGCCAGCCCCTAGACAGAGCTGTCTCTGTTGGAGACTAAACATTCTTGTCCAAGGTCACTCGCTCTGTGGGAGCTGTGGAGGAGGCTGTGGTCTGAGTCCTTCCAGTCTGACTTTGCAACTGTCTGGGTTAGTTTTTTGATTGTGGTAAAAGACCTGACGTGAGGTTGACCATTGTAGCTGTTTCTTGTGTACAGTGCAGGAACACAAAGTCCGCTGTTATGTGCCATCACCACTATCCGCTTCCAGAATTTTTGTTTTTTTAAGATTTATTTTTATTGGAAAGTCAGATATTCAGAGAGGAGGAAAGACAGAGGATTATCTTCCATTTGATAATTCAATTCCCAAATGGCTATAACGGCTGGAGCTGAGCCAATCCAAAGCCAGGAGCCCGGAGCCTCTTCTGGGTCTCCCACGCCGGTGCAGGGTCCCAAAGCTTTGGGCCGTCCTCAACTGCCTTCCCGGGCTACAAACGGAGCTGGGTGGGAAGTGGGGAGGCTGCGATTAGAACCAGTTCCTATATGGAATCCTGGCACGTGTGAGGTGAGGACTTTAGCTGCTAGGCTACTGCGCCATGTCCCCTACCCACCTGAATTTTTTATCACTCCAAACTGAAAGACTGTCCTGTTGGGCACTTACCTCTGCCCTTGACTCCTGGCATCCACGCTCTGCTCTGGGTCTCTCGGGAGTCAGTAGCCAGCAGTGCCTCAGAGAAGTGAAATCATCCGGTAATTGTCGCCGTGTGTCTGGCCGAACTCCCTTGGCGTCATTTCCAGAGTTCGTCCTTGTAGCGTGTGTCACAGTTTCCTTGTTTGGATGCACTGCATTGTGTCAGCTAATCGTCTGTCAATATTTGGCCTTGATCACTTGGTTTTTGTTTTTTGCTTTTTCTAATTATTTATTTGAAAGGCAGGGAGTTACAAAGAGAGGGAGAGAGAGAGAGAGAAAGAATCTTCTATCCTCTGGGTCACTCCCAAAATGTCCACAGCAGCAGGGCCTGGGCCAGGTCTGAACCAGAAGCCTGGACCTCCACGCAAGATCTCCCAGGGATTTGGGCCATCCTCCACTGCTTTCCCAAGAGAATGAGCAGAGAGCTGGAATGGCAGTGGAGCAGCTGGGACTCAAACCGGTGGTCATGTAGAATGCCAGCATTGCAGGCATCAGCTTGCCCTATGACCCTGGAACCTGGCCCCTGTGGTCACTCTGTGCCCTGTTGTACCCTGTTGGCCGGGCTCCGCCTCCAGCTGGTGTGGACATCCCCTCCTTAGAGTGTGGGCTTCTCCCTCCAGCATCTTCTCACCGGATAGTGCGGCACCTGCTCATTGGTATTTTCTTGTTTAGAGATGAAGCCCAAGAAGAGATATATAAAAAGGGACAGTCCAAAAGAATCTGGGGTGAGCTGTACAAGGTGAGACACTCGCATCCTTCTCTCATTGTGTGATTCCACTGTGATTCTTCTAGTCATCTCTGAGGAAACTGGTTTTGCTAACTAGAAGCTCTGCCAGATAGAGTAGATTCTGCTGCCAGTTGTGTCTTCCTCCACAAAGCAACACACACACACACACACACACACACACACACACACATTCTGCCATAGTGGACTGTGTTTCTGAAGTCACTTTAGAGAGCCCCGGTTGCCTCCCGCCCATTCGTGTGTATTACCTGTCTTCCTTTCTGCTCTGTTACTGTGCTGTTCGTGCTGGGACTGCGTGCCCAGGCTACACAGGCAGTTCCGGTTCCTCCATCCAGTCACCTTGTATCGCTGAGTGCATAGCTCGCCTGCCTTAGCGGTGGCAGCCGCTTTGTGGGTCCCCGGTCCTGACCCAGAGCTCTTGAACTGCCACGTTTCTGTGCACAGACTGATAATATCCTCAGGAACACAGACTTCTAAGCATAGTTACATGAATCTGCAGTGACATAATACAAAACCAATACCGATACGGCAGACTGAGTTATTAGAAACCAATGGCAGGTCGGGGAGGCGTGGCTCAGCTTTAACTGTCTGTAGTTGCAGGAGCTGTTTCCCGGGAGCTGGTGTCTTGTCTGAAATGGGCAGGTTTTAGATGTCCACCCAGGGAGAAGCTGATTTCTGTTTATGGAGCATTGGGTTTGGCTGCAGCCTGCTCTCACATGGCTGTCATGCAAGGGTTCCTAAGCGTTACTGTTTTTCCCGGGCTCCCTGGAAGGTCATTCTTCATAATTTTGTACTTGCACTTTAGCAAACCATTTTCCCCTCTGAATTATAGGTGATAGACTCATCAGATGTTGTTGTTCAAGTTCTTGATGCTAGAGACCCCATGGGGACCCGTTCTCCTCACATTGAGACTTACCTGAAGAAAGAAAAACCCTGGAAACACCTCATTTTTGTGCTTAACAAGTGTGACCTTGTCCCAACCTGGGCAACAGTAAGTATGACGACTAATCCAGAACAGACCGTGCAGACCACTCAGCTCCAGGAGACCTGGAATTCATGTGCTCACAAGTCAGTTTGTGGGTTTTCCCTAGAAAACCTCTGCGAACAAGGCAGTGGTGTCTCAAGTTAGAATCCTTGGAGGGCTGCCTCTGGATGTGTACGGTGCGGGTGCAGCGCCCCCACATGGTGGAGCATCCGGCCAGCTTTGGCCAGCTCTCCGTTGTGCTCCATTGTTTTGCATTTTTATCTGTTGTAGTTGAAAGAGGAGATGTTTTGAAGACTCACAGCTAATGTTGACGTGGGCAGCAGTGGACAGCAGCGTATCTGAAACACAGCCTGTCCGCTCCAGCTGTGATTCCTCCCCATCTGTAGGTAAACCAGCAGCGCTCAGCCTGTTCTCCTGTCTCCCGTAGAAGCGCTGGGTTGCCGTCCTGTCCCAGGATTATCCGACACTGGCTTTCCACGCGAGTCTCACCAACCCCTTTGGCAAGGGGGCCTTCATTCAGCTGCTGCGGCAGTTTGGAAAGGTACGGTGGCCTGACCTTTGTCTGCTGGGGTTTGTGGTGTGGCTGTGCTATGGTAAGTTGCCTCGGGAGTTGCTTCCCGCATCATGGTGTGAGGCCTGGAGGTCAGGAACTCATCGAGGCTATCCGTCCAGGAAACTGATTCTGGAACAAGTCCAACCCTATAGAATGTTCCCAGGGGGTCGAACGCAGCACCTTTGGTTGTGTACTTGATCGGTTGTCCTTGGCTTCTAAGGAAAAGATGTGTATCCTGTCCCATTCTTCCGTCACTCAGCTGGAGCAGATGCTGCCAGCACATCGCTGTTTTGCTGCTGGCCTCTGCGTGTGGAGTGCTTGCTTAGCGTTTTAGCCCCGTGTCCCCACCTGGTGTTAGCTGGCTGTCTTTCCTGCCAGAGAAAGCAGAGTCTAAGCTCCTTGCAGCCATCCTCTGTCCACACCTCCTGGCTCCGCTTGTCCTGTATTTGTTGGGTGACCCTGTCGGGTCACCTGCCTCTTCACTGTGCTGACACATGCCCTGACTGTAGTTCCCTGCTGCCTTGGCTCCATGTCTATGTCTGTCACTGCTGTGCTGCCGAGTTCGCTAGTGGAAAGGGACGCCAGCAGGCACAGGTGCCACACGGGGTGTGGGCCGCCTTGCTGCTCCCTCCCAGCAGCAGAACCCCCCCTGTGTCCTGTCCTTAGGGTTCCCGAGGCTGCCTGCCTGCCTGTTCCTGTCCTCTGGGATGCGCGTGCCTTTTGAGGCAGTGTCGTTTTCAAATGCTTCCTCAGAAAGGGTAAAGAGGAAGAAGGTTGAGAGACCACATGACTCTGATAGTGTCTTCCTTCTCTTCTGCCACGGCCTCGGAGTGTTCCAGGCCCCGCTGCATTGGCTTCAGGCTCCTGCGGTTGCTCTGGAGAAATGTGAGGTCATTTTGACTCCTGATCCCTTGTGCTTGTTCTAAAATTCCACCTTGATGTGTCTGGAGGAGGACCTGTTGTGCACTGAGCTAAGCGGGAGGTGGAGTTGGCTGGCTGTTACTTTTTCTTTAGTTTGTTGTTTGTTTTGGAAGGCAGATAGTGAGGGAACTCTTCTGCTGGTTCACTCCCCCAGTGTCTGCAGCAGTCAGGACGAGGCCCACTTGACAGCAGGAGAGCCAGGAGCTGGGAGCTCCCTCTGCCTCTCCCTTGAGCCGGCCCCTGCTGCCTCCTGGGGTGTCCACCAAGAAGCTGGGTGAGGAGCAGGGGCTGGGCTGCGTCCCAGGCACTCGGACAGGGGTGTGGACGTCTCAGGCCGCAGTTTACTCTGCTGGGTCACGTGCCTTCTCCAGAACTGTCTTAACGTTATTTATTTGAAATTTCACTTAACCCTTCCAAGGTCTGTATTTTTCTGAAGGAATTGAGTCTTACCTCCTGGTTTCACTCTTGAACTTTCTTAGCTTTTCTTTAGTTCACTGTATACGTGACATTTCGCTGTATTGTTTGGACAGCTCGCCTAGCCAACTCACCCAGCTGCTGTCTCACAAAATGTATTTTGCCTGTGCTCTTGTTTAACTCGGCCCCACCCTGCCCCCTTGTACAACTCTGACAGCTGTGATATCTCCTCTGTCTCAGACAGTGCTGATGGTGTGTTTAAGCCTCCCCTCCCTGTGTTAACTCCCTGACTTCCAGGTTTGTTTTTCTATCTCTTCTGCTGGGATCATGCTTCAGGTTACTCTTGGTTCTCCATTCATGTGGAAGAGGAAAGCTGATGGGGAGGGTAGGCTTTGTGGTGTGGTGGGTAAAGCTGCCACCTCTGCTTCTGGTCCACCTTCCTGCGAATGCGTCTGGGAGGCAGCTGATGATGGTGCAGGTTCTGAGCCCCTGCCATCCAGTGGGAGACCAGATGGAGCTCCTGTGTCTACAGTGTTTTTTCTCCCTATGGCTATGCCTTTCAAGTAAGTAAACATTTTTATGTTTTCAAAGATGATAGAGGGACAGGCATTTGCCTCAGCAGTTAAACTATTCTTTGGGACGTTTTAAACTATTCTTTGGGACGCCCACATTCCATGTTTGAGTGCCTGATTCAAGTCTTGGCTGCTCTGCTTCTGTTTTGTTTTGTTTTGTTTTGTTTTTGTTTTCAGATTTGTTATTTATTATTTGAAAGGCAAAGTTGCAAAAAGAAGAGGAGACTTTCCATTCCTTGGTTCATTCCCCAGATGGCCATAATGCCAGGGCTTCTTTGGGTCTCCCACATGTGTGCAGGGACTCAAGCCCTTTGGCCATCTTCTGCTGGTTTTCCATGTGCTTTAGCCGGGAGTTAAATAAGCAATAGAGCAACCAGGTCTTGAGCTGGCACCCATATTGGAGGCCAGCATTGCAGAGGCTTAACTTGCTATTCTATAACGCCAGTCCCATGGCTTTTCTGCTTCTAATCCAGCTTCCTTCTACTGCACACCTTGAGGGAGTGCAAGTGATGGTTCAAGTGCTTCAGTCCCTGCCACTCTGTGTGAGAGACCAGACTTGAGGTTCTAGTGTTCTCTGCTTGCTGTGACATTGGGGAGGGAAGCAGCAGATGAGAGATCTGTCTCCCTTTCTTCTCCCACTCCACTCTAATGCCTGTGCTTTTCAAATCATAGGAAAGTAAGAGACAAAACAGATGTGGCAGATTGGATTTCCCAACTTACCATTATAGGATGATTGAATGGGGACCCACATGTTTTATTGGCAAATACTCTGTGAGATTTCAGAGTCATGGTTCTTCTTTCTGGCGTCTAAGACTTTGTCCAGAGAAGTGTGGTGGTCTTCACCTGTCAGGGTGCATAGGCCTAGCTGCCGGGCTCTGGGAGCTCAGAGTGAGTGTGGGCTGGGGTCTCACTAGGCGGGGTAGGATTTAGAGTTTCAGTTCACCATTCAGGCACACTGGCCTTTGGCTGTACCTCTCTTACGTTTGGGCTCCCTTCCAGGGCTGAGAGCTGGTGGCATTGTCGGGCACGCAGGGTTTCACGGATGTGTCATTTCCCTCAGCCTGGCCTGTGGGGTGGCGGGAGCTCTATGCCTGCCAGACACACGGTTGCTGTATGTGCTGCCTGGCCCCCAGCTCTTGGTATATGGGTGGTTAGCCTCTGGTATTTTGTTACCATCATAGCTCCCCCTCTGGGGGTTGGAGCGTTGATTCTACAGCTGTGATGCTGGTGGACTTGATGGGCATGAGGTCAGTTCGCATGTACAGTCCACCACCTTCCTTCCCAAGTTCCATCCGCTTGCAGAGTGGGGTGCCAGCTGGGCTCGGCCTCGTGAGACCCCACCCAGTGGTCTAGCTTCTGAGGTGTTTTTTTTCCTCTCTTGTTGTTGAATTTTGGCAGTGGAAATGTGAAACATATTGTCCAGAGAAAAGGGGAGTGACCCATGAGGAGTCTGAAGGGCATTTTTCTGTGGATGGTGGTGGTCTCAGTGAGTAGTCTAGCTCTTTTATTTTCCCTTAAGATTTATTTCATTTTTATTTGAAAGAGTTACAGAGAAAGAGATCCTCCATTTTCTAGTTCACTCCAAATGGTTGCCAACAGCTGGAGCTGAACCAGTCTGAAGCCAGGAGCCAGGAACTTCTTCCAGGTCTCACACTTGGGTGCAGGGTCCCAAGGACTTGGGCCATCTTCTGCCCATTTGACAGATATGACACAGTGGTGTTGCAGTGAGAGGCTTAGCATACAATACCACAGCAGCATTTACCATTTACCAATTTGTGTACTTTTGAGCCTTTGTTCTATAGTCTAAGGATAGTTGAATGTGGGTGGCTGAGATGACTCATCTCTGGTTGATTCATGAGGACAGAGGGTCCACTTCCACTGTGAAGGTTTAATGTACAGGGGTCCAATCATTTTGTGTTAAAAGCTTTGCACTGTGGTGTTTTCTGTTTTTGTGGGGTTTTGTTTTGTTGTGTTTATTTAAGATTGGTATATTTGGGGCCTGGCACGATGGTGCAGTGGTTAAGGTCCTCGCCTTACATGCCCGGGATCCCATATGGGCGCCGGTTCTGATCCCGGAGGCCCCACTTCCCATCCAGCTCCCTTCCTGTGGCCCGGAAAAGCAGTCGAGGACGACCCAAGGCTTTGGGACCCTGCACCCGCGTGGGAGGCCTGGAAGGGGCTCCTGGCTTCAGACTGGCATAGCATCGGCCGTTGCGCTCACTTGGGGAGTGAATCATCGGACGGAAGATCTTCCTCTCTGTCTCTCCTCCTCTCTGTATATCCGCCTTTCCGATAAAAATAAAATAAATCTTAAAAAACAAAACAAGACAAAAAAAGATTGGTATGTTTGAAAGACGGGCACATCTTCACCCACTGGTTCACCTGTTCCCCAAATGGCTACAGTGGCTGTGGTTAGACCAGGCTGAAGCTAGGAACCTAGAACTCCCGTGTGGGTCTCCGGCTTGAGGGGTGGGGACTCAAGGATATGGGCCATCCCCTGCTGCTTTCCTGGGTGCACTAGCAGGGAGTTGGGTCAGAAGCAGAGTGGCCAGGTCTCACACCAGCACTTAGAAACAGTATATCATCAGCATTGTAAGTATCCAGTTACTGGGCTGGATAACAGTGCCAGTCCTTGTGCTCTGCTCATTACCTTACCGAAGTCACCTGTCTGTCGCGGAGGGTGTGCCTGACTGCATGTCCGTGGTGTGTTCTCTCCCTGAGCAGCTGCACACAGACAAGAAGCAGATCAGTGTCGGCTTCATTGGCTATCCAAATGTTGGCAAGAGCTCTGTGATAAACACGTTGCGTTCCAAGAAAGTCTGTAACGTGGCCCCCATCGCAGGCGAAACAAAGGTATGTCTGCTTCAAGGGGGGCTGCCTTCTACCAGTTTTTGTTTCTGTGAAGGCAGAGGGCTGGTGGGGAGAGTGGTGATTGCCTAAGACATGGAGATTCTCCCTACTTCTTGCTGATGGGAATTTAGTTTTGCATGTAGTGGCTTTGGATGTTTGAGTTCCTGTTGCTGTGATGCTGCTGAGCATCCTCTCTATGCCATGCTGTGACTTTGGCCTGATTTGGTTGATACTGTTCATCTTGAGGACTTTACATGATCACTGCTGCCTTCACTCAAGAATGGCTGCTGGGTTAGGAAGGCACCCAGCCAAGGGTGGTTGCCCTGGAGCACAGAGGACTAGGGAGTAACATGGCCCAGCTGAACAGCAAGAGGCCCAGTGGTGATCTATTTCCAGGACACTTAGGAAGCTCAGAAGAGAGTCTGCAGGGTCTCACCACACAGGGCTGGGCGGGAGTCTGTGCATTACTTTCAGGCCCTTACGTGATGGCAGCTGGAGTTGACACTTGTGCAGATGTGGTGGGCAGGGCATGGAGAGAGGAAGCTGTGATTGCTCAGCAGGCTGGCCTCCTCCCCGTCTGGCTTCACCTGAGAGCCTCAGGGCTTTGCAAGTTAGACTCAGTGTTGGGCACAGAGGTGTCCCTGGCTTTTTTCCATCCTCAGGTCTGGCAGTACATCACTCTGATGCGGCGGATATTCCTGATCGATTGTCCGGGTGTGGTTTACCCATCGGAGGACTCAGAGACAGACATCGTGCTCAAAGGAGTTGTGAGTGTCAGCCCCTGAGGGCCTCCCTGCTTCCTGTGGGCACTCAGGGCCCTTGGCTTTTTGCTTGTTCAGAAGACACTTTGGGGTCAGTTTGGTTGGCCTGTCCAACCAGAGTTTGGGAGTGTGGTGATGACCAGGGCGGCCTTTCCTTCCCCCTTCAGCCTGCTGAAGGAGTTAGTGGAATCAGGGGGCATATCTGGTCAGTATCATCCCACAAAAGAGCTCGTAGTTTACATGCTGGATCCAAAGGGAGGCAGGGCCTGTTTATGTTTAGTGATAATTCATCTTTGTGGGTTTATGGGCTGAGTCATTTTGGAGCCCAATCATTTCCTCACTTGTTTCTGAATGTGACTGAAAAGTTGAAATGATTCCACTTAACCTTGACCATGCTTCTGGCTATACGTCCTGTGCACATTCTTCCCCTGTTTGCATAAACTGATCTGTTCCTGTTGTATCCCGGGATTGCCAGGCTTTTAACCATTTCTGCGAGTGGGTAACACAAAGTAGTGAAATTCAAACAGCCTCAGAAGCCACTTGGGTAGTTTGTGGTGAGCTGGGCTCCCGAGTGGGGCTGGGATCTCCATGCCCTCTCCTGTGGCCGTCTGTTTGCAAACAGTGGCTCCGCTGCTTGCCCAAGAATTTCCTATTGACATCTAGGTTCAAGTTGAGAAAATTAAGACTCCCGAAGACCATGTTGGTGCTGTACTTGAACGAGCCAAGCCAGAATATATCAGCAAGACGTACAAGATCGACTCTTGGGAAAATGCTGAGGACTTTCTGGAGAAGTTAGCTTTCCGCACTGGGAAATTGTTGAAGGTGAACCAGGGCCATGAGAAATGTGACTGATGTGCACTGTACGTGTGTGTGAGAGAGAAACAGGCGTGTGTCTTGGCCTTCCATGAGCATTGTGACACTTGTCAAGTGTGATGATGAACACCTGGGACAGCTGAACTGGCCCGTGGTTTTGTTCTTGGGGTCTTACTGGGCGTCTCTGATGTTTCAGGGTGGGGAGCCCGACTTGCAGACAGTGGGTAAGATGGTCCTCAATGACTGGCAGAGGGGCCGGATTCCTTTCTTTGTCAAGCCTCCCAATGCAGAGCCGCCTACAGTCCCCCAGGTAAGAGCAGGGTGGACCCAGTTCTTTGAAAGCATGGCTCTCATCCAGAGCTGGCTCCCTTTTCGTGGCCTACCTTTCTGAAAGCTTGCTTTCCCTTCTGCTGCATCTTTGAGCAGTAGTGTCACCCACAGCAGAGTGAGCTTGTTGGAGACCCATAAATAACAAGTGCAGTGTAAGCCCAGGCCTCGGGTCCTGGAGGAAGAGGGCTCGTTGGGTCATCCTCTGATCCTGTTGGCTTTTCTTAAGCTTGAGGAGCCTTGAACAAACATTAGAACCAGCTGTGTGCCAGGCCCAGGGAACCCAGGCATGAATCAGCCCTGCTCTTGCAGTGCTGGTGCTTAGATGGGGAGTGCTAGGCATGAGGCTGAGGTTTGGGCCTCTGTGAAGGGGGAAATCCCGAAGCTTCACTGCTCTCACACATCCCTTTCTGTGGTGGCAGCCGGCCCCGGGCTCAGCCTGCATGCTTTGCTTTGCTGTTTCTGGGGCCTTCTGGACAGCTCAGCCAAGGTGACAAGGTGGCATCGCGTGCCACTCCTGCCATTCAGATCTGTCTGGCCCTGATGTCTTAGCTGCGCTCTGTCCCAGGCATGCCCAGGCAACTGCTGCAGCTTGATGTTTTCAGCTGAATATTCTCTCCTACTGTTTAGAATTGGCACCTCTGAGACATTTGTTAATGGGTCAACTCCCACCTTCCCCAGCCAAACCCAGCAGCCCCTCCCCATCTGCTCTGTGAGTTTGTTCATTCTGTATACAGGCTTTTTGGAGGCCTGAATACCCGCCCACCCCTGTGCACCATATCTTTCTGGATCCTGGGGCTGGAATTGGTGTCTCAAGTAGCTGAGTCCCTAACACCCACTTGGGAAACCTGGATTGGGTTCTTGCTGGCTCCCATCTCAGGTCCGGCAGCTGCAGCTGCTACAGACATTTGGGGAGTGAAATCAAGGGATGGAAGTTCTCTCTTTCTTTTTAATCGGAAAAGCAGATTTACAAAGAGACAGACATCTTCCATCCAATGGTTTATCCCCAAATGGCCACAGTAGACAAAGCTGAGCTAATCTGAGGACAGGAGCCTGGAGCATCCCACGTGGGTGCAAGGTCCCAAGGCTTTGTGCTGTCTTTTGCTGCTTCCCCAGGCCAAAAGCAGGGGCTAGGTGGGAAATGGAACAGCTGGAACACAAACCAGCATCTGTATGAAATGCTGGCACTTGCAGGTGGAGGATTAGCCAGTTTGGCCTTGATTTCAGCACCATGAAGTTCTTTCTTGCCCCTCAGATTTTTAAAAAAAAGTTATATTTCCATCTTCAGCTTATTTCTCTTTGACGTTGTGCCCTTTTTGTCCTCCACAGCATTCACCCTCCTCACCCCCAGAGGCTGATGCCGAAACCCCCCAGGACAACCCAGAAGAGGGAGCCCCAGCAGCAGTCAGCGAAGGGTCGCAGCAAATCACAGAGAAAGAAAAGGAAGAAAATGATGGCCATGCTGCCAACTCAGAGATGCAGGAGATCCTGGCACGCGTTCGGCAGAACTTTGGCAAAATCAACGTGGTGCCCCAGTTCTCTGGGGACGACCTGGTTCCCGTGGAGCTGTCAGACCTCGATGAAGAGTTTGAGAGCTGGTCTGTGGAGGAGGAAGAGGATGAGGAAGAGCAGATGCAGCTGGGAGACGAGGAGGAGGAGGCTTACCAGGAGCCCCAGGAGCAGCCTGCGGGGAACGACACCAAGGCTGTTCTGAGAGCCCTGGATGAAAAGATCGCTAAATATCACAAGTTTTTAAACAAAGCCAAGGCCAAAAAGTTCTCAGCAGTCAGGTAGCCTCTCCTCTCTTTGAACTGCAGCGAGTTCGTGTTCATTCCTTTCCCCAAAACCTGCTATCGGTATTAGAGTGGTGGTTTTGGAAAGGGCTGCCTGTGGCCGTGTTTGATGCTTGATGCGTACATGTAACATTGAGCTCCCTACTGTAGGAGAGGTCAGGGGCTCGGGGGCTGTGGCCGTTGACTCCTTTCCTGGTGCTCCCTGCGGTGTGAGGGCAGGCTCCTCAGCCTGGGGACGTGGGCCCTGCAGAGGAGTGAGGAGTGGCGGGTGGCTTCAGCACTTTGCCTCTCTGTTTCAGAATACCAAAGGGGCTGAGTGAAATGGTTTTTGCAAAGTCTGAAGAACGAAAAAAAAGAAAGGCCTCTGAAGTGGTGGATGATGGAGAGGAAGGTGAGCGAGTTTGCCGCGGCGGGAGTACTTCAGTTCTTCAGGGTCTGTCTGGCACCGTGCCCTGCAGACACATGGCGTTTTTGCCGCACAGGCTTCTTGGCATTCAAATTATGTTACTCACAACTTGGGTCCTGCACGTTTCTTAGGATGGTTTTGGCAGTTCAGGAAACTTGATAAAAAGATTATTCACCATAGAAACCAGGTGTGAGACCACAGACAGTTGGGGAGTGGGGCCTGTTGCAGCTTTACTCCGTTGGATGGCCAGCATCCTGTCAAGCCTGCAATTGTGTGACATTCGTACAACCCTGCTGGGGCCTGGCAGACTCGTCCTGGCTCCTTCCCAACCTGGCCCTGCTATGTTCACACTCCATCCACACCTGCCTTCTACCTCTTCCTCCTTCTGACGTGTCCAACTTGTACCCATCGTAGGGCTTGAAAGTTTTGAATAGAAAATACTGGGTTTTTTTTTTTTTCCTCTCCCCTGTGTGTTTGTAGATCGTTCTTATCCAGCACCTACCAAGAAGGGAAAGAAGTGGAAGGCCCAGCGGGAAGAGGACCATCCAGAGAAAGCCAACAGGATGCTGACATGTAAAGAAGTAAGTACTGGGCCCTTAAGTTAGACCCGTTATCAGGACGCTTACATCTGAAATAAAACATTCCAGGGTCTTCAGTATGGAAAGCTGAGAGCAGCTGATTTCTCAAGACCCACTGCTTACGAAACGGGTGTTCCAGAGCCGAATCCCAGCAACCCCAGTCCTCAGTGACCTGGGCATCCCTTACGTGGGATCAAGAGGGGGCACCCTGGGCGGAGGCTACTGAGTCCCTGTCATGTTGTAGGAGGCCCTGGTCCCCGTTTTGCAACAAGCAGGTGTCACGTAGAAGGTTGGGTTTACAGCCCCAGGGAGATGACATGATGAGCAAAGTGTTTCAGGGCTAGGGCCATTTGGATGTCTGTGGCATCATTCATAGGCCATACCGACTTACCAACTTAAAAATTCACCTGCTATAGATGTCTTGGATTCCTAGTCCCATCTGTGGAAGCCTTGGTGGCAGGACCTGACCAAATGATTTTATGGGCCGTGTTTCCCCTCCCCTGGGTTCTGTGAAGGGCAGCTTTGTTCCATGGCTGTCGGAGCTGGAACGGGCCCTCTGGGCAGGGGCATGGTTTGTCATCATGTGTCCGACCTTACTGACCACTGGTCAGGAAGGCAGCAGAACCTGTGCAGGTATTGCATGAGGTTGGGCTCAGTGGGAGTGTGGGCCTGGACATGTCAGAAGTCACCAGGAGAGAGTGTGCGTCCCTCCCTCCTTCCCGTGGCTGTGGGAGCTGGGGAGGACGACACGGAGGCGCCAGTCTTAGGACTCAGTGTTTGATCATTCTTTGCTTCCTGCCATTTTTCACAGCGGAGGCGAGCAGCACGGCAGCAGCAGTCCAAAAAAGTTGGTGTCCGCTACTATGAAACACACAATGTGAAAAATAGGAACAGGAATAAAAAGAAGACGAGCAACTCGGAGGGACAGCAACACAGACGCAAAGCTTTCAGGCACAAGCAGTGACAAGCTCAAGGTTTATTAAATTATACAAAACACACAACTAGAACTTGTGCTCCTTTTCTTCACGCCGTTGGCCTTTCTAAAGCCGTAATGCTTGTTGAGGTCTACCTGTGAGGCTGTCAGTCAGAGCTAGTGAAAATAGTGGAAAGCCCCTCCTGCCTCCAGCTCTCAGGTTCAAGTCCATTGGCACTCCTGCTTCAGGTGACCCTCTCAGTTCCTTACTGAAGTCCCACTCCATAAAGCATCTGGCAAAGCCAGGAGGTGGGAGTGCAAGGCGGGAAGTGGCCTTTTGTGCCGGGAGTTAGCTGTCTGGAACCGAAGAAGAGCATGGCACATGTGTTGTGGACAGCCTGGCCTTTCATGTGTAAGGGAAAAGCTCCAGCAAATTCTGTCCCTCGTTGAGCCTACCGGGTAGCCCCACTGGCTTCTTGTGGAGTGACAGCGCAGGCAGGTCATGAGCCTGGAGCCTTATGGTCTTCCAGCACCAGCCCAGGGGAAGAGCTGGGACGGCACGTTCCAGATGTGAGTCGGGCGGCTTCTGGCTGCAGGGAGCACTGCTACTCTTATGAGACTCTCGCTCTGGCAAGCAGCCGTGAAACCCCGAGCAGGAGAGTGTCAGATCAGAGCTCTGCCAAGAGGAGGAAGGCTCTTCGGGCTCAAGGGGATGCCAGGTACTGGAGGCCTCCAGCCAGGGGAATTGGGAGTGATTTCTTAGCTAACACTGCTGGTCAGCTTCGGCCCAATGAGGAGAGTCGCCCAACTTGCCGCCCTGGTCTGCCCTTAATTGCAAGTTTTTGCCACTAGTTCAGTCTTCTGAGTGTGCCATACTAGAAGTGTCTGAGGCTTCCCTGTGTTTTACCTTAGGTCTGGAGGGCCTGGTCTGATCATTAGGAACAAGAACCGGGCATGAGATTTGGCCCCCTCTGCATGGATTAGACGAGCTGGGGTCTGAGCTCTGCCGAGCAAGGGGACCAAGTTCTGTGTCTGGTGGAGGCGGCGCTTGGGGACACACGGACCACAGGGATGTTGTGGCCTGGCTTCCCTTCCAGCAAATGTGTTCTTCCTCCAAAGCTGCAGGCTGGCCTCTGTGGGTGTTCCCTCACCTGGGCAGTCTGAAACTGAGGAGGAAGGGGCCGTCGGACTGGGGAGATGGGGAGAAGATGCTCCAGGATGAAAGCAAAGCTCCAACATGAGTTACTGGCAATGTTCCGACGCAGTGAAAGAAGGCCTGAGACCAGGCGTGCCCACGGTAGGGCTGCAGGTGCTTCGTAAATCCAGACTTCGAGGGACAGAGAGATGGCTTCATTTGGCCAGAAGTTAGTCCTGACAGAGGGGAGCAGTTACTTTTCAGAGTCTTGCTGTTTGAGTTGGCAAAGACCAGGGTTGGTGAGTAAGCCACATACGGAGACTTGGCTACGCCACCTTCCGTTGCCCAACTGGGAGCCTCCTGCCAGACCTCAGGTGGCTGCTGGCACATGTAGGTGGTGATCAGGGAAGGGGACGGCTTGTTCACTCAGGAAACTAGCTTTTTATTACCAAGGGCTTAGGACCGAGTCGTCGTGCTTGCTGAGGCCCATATGGAAATGATCACTTCTTCGGTGCAATAATGCCTTCCAGTTGGGCCTGAAAAACAAAAACAAACTCCATTAATATTTGAAGCCCACAGCCGCACACAAATAGCTGAGAGGTGATAAAAGTCCACGGGAGGGAGAGTCCAGACACAGCCACTCCACGTGTGCCCTTCCCCTTCCTTCCCAGCTCCATGTTTTCTGCATTAACTGATGTTTTTTTGGCTTGGCCCATGGTCTTGCTACATGAGAAGAAACCAGAGCTGTCCTGGTCTCCATACAATAACGGCTCATTGTATCCTAGGAAGCATTGAAAAGCAAATTGAATAAAAGTTGTTGAAATAGCGGTTTTTTGTGGCTCGGAATGTCAGGCCTGACTATGTGTGCTGAGTTAAACATTTGGCGCTCTGGTTTAACATCCCGGGGGCTCTGCTGGGACTCGGGGTTTGGGAAATGGCAGATTTTCAGCCACCGAGACAACTTGACACCCAATTAGAGGAAACTGCTACCAGGGAGCAGGGAGCTGGCCGTCTTGTCCGTGAAGCTTAGGGTGCCTGGGATAGGTTTACCCGGAGCCTCTCGCAGCCAGTTGGGTAATTGACTGTGATGAGATGCGGACAAGTCTTTGCGTAGGTCTGTCTTAGCGACTGCAAACACTGCTTGATGTGCCTTGTTGCTTTGAGCCAATACAAACAACTCACTTCTAAAGCATCCACCCCAGGGAGGACAGGGCCTCTCTGAAATGTTAGGGAGATGCTAAGGGGAAACCAGGGAGAAAGGATGTTGCAGAAGAGGGAAGCCCCTTGCAGAGGCTTTATGTAAACATTCCATCTGCCTGTGGGAGTTCCTAGCTGTTTTTGTTAAATGACAAAGCCCGCCCTCTTGCACACGCAAGGACATTTTGATTTGTGGAGCCTCCGAGCCTACTAGGCTCCAGTGTGTGTGTCCAGTGAACCTGGGGAGCAGGGGGAGACTCAAGGCCAGGAGAAAGCCACTCGGGGTTCATGCACCTTCTTGAAGTGGGGGGGGGGGGGTCCTTGTAACAGACGGCACAGGACCAGAAAGCTGGGGCTGCACCACAGGCAGTCTGACTCCAACTTCCCACGTGCTTCTTGAAATACTCTCATCCATCTATCTAGAGCGTTCTAACCGGAACAAGCATCAGGGTCGCCAAGAACTTGGTAAGATGCATCACAGTACCCAGGTCCGCAGTTGGGATTCAGCAGGGCTGCGACAGGCGAGTGATTGGCATTTCTTAAAGTTCGCAGGTGCTTGAGGATGGTGCCAGTGTGGGGCCCAACCTTTGAGAGCCACTGAACCAGGCAGCATGGAGGTACAGAGGCCTGTGGCATGACCTCCCCACCACCTCTTCCACTAGTCTTTCTCCTTCCTGTCTTAAAAAACACCTGCTGACCTCCCCTTCTCTGCCCCAGGTTTCCAGTGCCACGTGCCTCTGGTTTGCTCTGGCACAGCCTTCCCAGCACCATCAAAGACTCTACCTTCCTCCTGCCTCTGCCCCCACACGGGCCTCCAAGGGACTGGCAGGGACAGCTTTCGGGTGAGTCCCTGGGGGACTTCTCTAGGACACCAGCTGTGAGGGGACATACTCCATTCTGGGCTGTTGCCACCTCTCCCAGAGCAAGGACACCATTCTTCCCTAGCAGGGAACCTTCTGCCCTGAGAGCCAAGCACAGGCATTTGGGGTCATCTGAGTAGTGACCCCTTGCCCTGCCCCAGGGAGTTCCCCTGGCCCCTTGGTGGTACAAGTGGATGTGCACTTGAAAGCCAGGAAGGGGCAGAGGAGGCATCTGCCCCTGGGCCGTGCATTTTACCTTCAGCTGCTGGTTCGTCCGCTTCAGGAATTGAATCTCCTCATTGTGTTTCTTCTCCTCCACCTGGCGCTTTTCACTCTCTCTCTTCTCAATGGCCTCACATTTGGCCTTTTGCTCATTTACTTGTCTCTCCAGATCTTTCTTTTCAACCTCCAATTCTGCAATCTGAAGATGGAATGCCCCATCATTCTGGGCCGTCGCCAGGAGGGTGGGGGGGTGGAGTGAGTGCCTGGCGGGGCAGAGGGCCTGGGATGCAGTGGTCCAACCCCAGCCATGGTCAGGGTAAGTGCTGCCACCCAGTGGGAGGCTGGTGACTGGCATAGTGTCCAGCCTGGAGCCCTCTTGGCCAAGACAGCTGACAGCTAGACAGGCATCACTCCCAATGGAGGCCAAGGTGGAACAGTTTTAGAAGACAGTCATGGGTGGGGTGGGGCAGGGGTGGGTGGCAGAATCTAATGGTGGTGTGAGCACCACATGGCTCTGATGGAAGAGTCGCAGAGGGGAAGGGGTCCCGTAAGCCCCACTCACTCTCCTCTCCATGTCTGACTTCCCCTGTTCGGCCTGCAGTGCCTTCCTCATGCCAAAGGCCACGCTGCTCTCGTATAGGGTCTGGTAGGCTGCGATGGTCATGCGTATCTCGTCCCGGACTCGCAGCAGCAAGAGCCCCCTCTCGGCACAGTTGATGGTGACCTCCCGGATGAGTTCGTCTTCCAACGCACACATACACATCAAGGTCAGGGACAGTGGGTGGGAGGGACCCTGCCCCATGGCTACTGTACATGCACCCTGTCTCTCAGGGAGGACCCCGGCTTGTGTTCTGCTTTGGAGATGAGGTCTTGGCAGATGCCTTCAATGACCCCAAGGAAATCTGCTATGCCCCTGTACTCTGAACTTGGCATGCGGCTTGGCCAGGATTAAGGAAAGTGGGGCCCAGGTTTGTCTGTGGTAGAAAGTGAATGAATCTGAGTTTGAAGATGAGTGGCCATTGGAAAGCGCCAAGCAATCCTTGGATGAACCACTCTGGGGCTGGAACCCACAAGGTCTAAAGCTTGCCTGCCTCTTTCCTCCCTCAGGGGTGACCTGCAGGACATACCACAGGCCTGTCCAAGCCCCATGGCTGTCTCGGGGTCTGGAGGCCATTTGCAGATTCCAGTCTATAGGGCCAGCGAGACTGGGCCAGGTGACAGCCCTTTTGTCTGTCAGTTAACAAGGGACCTGCCATATTCTTCTTCAGGACCACTGGCCAAATGTTGATGAATAGATATAAATATAGAACTGATTTTTTAATTGAAAAATGAACTCATGCTTACTACAAAAATGTTTGGGCGGGGGAAGAAAACCCAAAATTGTAAACATTTTTGTTTTGGCCCAAGTATCTGCTAAGGGCTGAGGAATGCAAGTTTTCGGGAGCACCAAGCCAGGTGGGGCACTAGGACTGATGGGGAAAGTGGGGCTGGAAGGAGCAAGGTGGTGCATCTGCTGGGGAAGGGGCGACTGGGGGCAAAGAGAATCATGTAAGTTGGGGTGGAACTTCTGTTTGGGGGGCACTCGGGGCCTGGAGCTGTACACCCGCCCACTCACCAAAGCACTGCGAATAGAGCTCCCTGCGGACTGGGCAGATGCCCGTTTCCCTGGCCTGCCGCTGCTGCAGCTTCAAGTCCAGCTGCTCCTGGAGGTGCACCACATCCATCCTGGTGCTGGGGGTGCTGGACACCTGCTGGATCCATAGCTGCGTGTCTTCTACCCACTCCCTGCAGCACAGACAAAGCCAGGCTCAGCTGGGTGCGTGCCTGGGTTCCCCTCTGAGGGCTCTGCCTGAGCCAGAGGCTGCTCTGCCACCCACCCACCATGACCCTCCCCCCCTTTCTCTTTCGTCTCCTTCCCTCCCTCCTTCCCTGACTCTCTCCTTCTCTCCCTTCCTCCATGGGCAGAACTCCAGAGCCACTGCACCAGTTTGGGGTCTAGCAGAAGTGAGCAACATTTTGGAGGCCCTCTGAATCATCAGCTCATCTGGCTCTTACCCTATGAACTCACTGCTGACAGCCTCATAGTCACCGACGCTTTAGATGCACCGAACGCCCCAAAGGAGAGGGAGGGGTTCTCCACTAATTTGGGGAGCAGGAGACACAGGACTCCATATGCCAGGAAGAGGCAAATGTGTTCATCCAGGTATGTGCCTACATAGGCTGCCCAAAATGACCTCTGGGTCCCAGGCACAGCCCAACTCAGTGATTACTGAGAGGAGGCTGGGGGGGACAGAACCACCATGGGAGAGGGGACTCCCACACCATGGGTGGGAGAGAAGCCACTGAAAAATATCTCCCTGTTCCTTGACCTCCATCTCACAGATCAGTCTCTTGTTTTCATCAGCACCTTAAAAACTGCCGCGTTGATATATTACATAAACACAGTGAAATGGGTGTGATTAACGTGGCTACAGAAGGAAAAAGCCAGGATGAAGGGACTGTGCTGGACAGGGGTATTGTTGTGTACAGGAGTCCCCAGAGTCCCCAGGAAGGCTTCCTGGAGCAAGGATCTGAGACATGAGGGATCTGGGGCAGGGCCAGGTGGTGTATCTCAAGGTAAGAGCATTGCTGGCCATGAGGACAGCACCTGTTGAGGCCCTGATTGTGCGAGAGGGATTAGGCTGTGTCAGCAGCAGCAGGTGGAGGACCCCGGGCCTCCACCATGATGAGTAAGACCAGGGGAGATGGGGACGATAGCGTGGGCCAGATGAGTGGGATGGGATGCCACTTGCTGGCAGAGCTCTGGCACAGTCCAACACATGACTTAGGAGCTGTGTGGAGCAAGGGCAAGTGGGTGGGGTTTTCTGCCTGGTCAACGTGGTGGTACAGGAGACAGGGACAAGGTAGGGGAGGCGAAGGTGGTAGGAATGGTTAGACGAGGTTTCAATCAGAACGGGGAGTCAAAATGTTCTGCCCCTCAGAGGAACCAAGAGTGACCCAAGGAGAAAGAAGACTGGGGAGCAACAATGGGGCGGGGGAAGTGGTAGTGATGGAGTTTGCACACACTGAGTGTGAGATGGCCAGCAGAGAGCTTCAGGGAGCACTGCCCGGATCTGGACACACCTTTCAAAGCTGGTCTACAAAGCCTCAGCTACTGGCCCAGTAAGGGGCAGCCAGTCACAGAGCCCAAGCCTAGGGCTTCCCCCTGCCCACATCTTGTTGTTTTTCTTTACCTGGGAGGCAGAATGGCATTCAGGATTTCCTCTGCCTGCTTTGTAGGATCAGGAACGCAGGATGTGGTGGGGAGCTTGGTCTTGATTGTCTGTGGGATTGGACTGGAGGGTCCCGGCTGCTGGGAACTGGCCTTGAGGGGCCGAGCCTGGGAACAGACGGTCCAAGCCTTCAGCCCCGCTGCTAGGCTGCAAGTGTCCTACACCCCGCTCCAACCCTTGCCTCCTTCCAGCCTGTTCTCTCCATCTTTCCTGCGGAAATCTCATCTCTAGTCCCCACCGAACCAGGAGCAGCAGCGGCCAGGCCTCTGCTCTGCTACCTGCAGTGATGTGGAAACCACCTTCCGATCGCCCCTTGAACTCATGTGACCATAAGAGGGGCCCGTCCATCTCCAGGGACTTTCTAACCCACTCTAAACAGAATCAGCCCAGAGTGGTCCCACCTAGCAGCTCCTGTCCAGTCCCGCCCCCTCAGCCGCGCCCAATCCCCTTCATCTTCAATCGCTGCCACCCCCTACCCCTCACTCCCGGCGCTGGCTGCGGGGACCTGTCTGCCCCCGACCTTACTTTGGGGCTCCGTTTCTCCGTGTTGCGGCTCACCAACACCGGGGTGTCGTACTTAAGCAGAGAGTCGGCTGGGGGAATCATGGCGGCGGTGAGGGTGGCAGCCCCGGTGGCGGTACCTTCTCCTGACTGGGCCTTGTTTGCCGTCACCATGGAAACCCTCCTCCCGGCCGGGCGGGGCGGCGGGAGCGCGGGGCGCGGCGCGCGGGTTCGGTGTGGCTCTCCCTTCCTCCTCTGCTCGGCCCCTCCTCGGAAGCAAGAACAGGGGTTCGAGTCCCTGCCCCGTGGCTACTTCGCGATCTGGGAGAGCTGAGCGGGTTCCCCTCGCCGAGCCCCTGTTTAGTCACCTCAGGGAAGGGCTGGGGGACCATTCCTAGAAGTTCCCGGCTGTTTTCAGGGACTTAAAAAGATTAAATGGAGAAACAGCGGGCTACTAGGGCAGAGTTTCAGTCACATCATGTCGGATTCCCACACCGTTGGTGCACAACTTTGTTTCCCGCGTTATCGTTTAGGTCTGCTGTAGATGGTTTCCAAATAACATCTCCAAGGGCCACGTTAACACCCATGAATTGGCTAAAGAATTCCCCACTGCTGTACACTCGGATGGCCCACAGGTAATGCACGGCCACGAATAGGCTTGAGAAGTTAGCTTCTTTATTTAAAGACAAATCTTTCAACTGCTGGTTCACTCCCCAAATGGGCTCAACAACCGGAGCTGAGCTGATCCAAAGCCAGAAGCCTCTTCCTGGCGGAGGCCCAGGGACTCGGGCCGTCCACCGCTTTCCCAGGTCACAAGGAGGGAAAGTGGAGCAGCCGGGATTCGAACCTGCAGGCTGAGGACTGGCTTGTCGAGCCGCGGCGTCGGCCATCGATCTTTCGCATTCTTAGCTCGAAACTCCCGCTCCCGGAGCCGAGTCCCTGTTGCCCTGCCCACAGGGGGCAGACGTCACGTGATTCGCACTCCCGCCGCGGGGCTTGCTGGGAGAGCGCGTCCCCGGGAAGCGGAAGTCCCTAGGTCAATCTCGTCATTTCCTTCAGCGAGAGCCTCTTAACGGATCGGTGTTCTTGTGCTCCCAGAGCCCAGCATGAAGGAGGTGAAGAGCGAGCGGGAGCGCAAGAGCCGCCGGCGGCGCCGGGAGGCGGACGAGGCGCCGGCCATGGCCACGGTGGTGGTGAAGCAGGAGCGGCTCAGCCCCGAGGCCGAGCCGCCGCCCGCCCCGCACCGGCCGGACCCGGCTGCTGCCCCGTCCCCGCCGGCCGGGCGCCGCGGAAGCAGAGCCCGGGGAGGCAGCCGGTAGGTGGGACGCCGTCGGAGGGGCTGGGGGCCGGGCTCGCCGCGGGAAGCTTGCTTGGGGTGGGGGGCGAGGCGCCCCGGTGCTGATCACCCGCGCCCTGGCCGGGGGTGCTTGCTGGGGAAGGGGTGCTCCCCGGTGCTGGTCACCTGCGCTCCAGCCGGGGGTGTTTGCTGGGGAGGGTGTGCGCCCCGATGCTGGTCACCTGTGCTCCTGCCCGACGTACTTGGCTCTGGTTTTGGTCACCCCTGCTCTTGCTGGGCGTGGAGCTGCTGGTGCCCAGCTGGCAGGGCCTCGTCCCCCACCCCCAGCCTCTCGCCCAGCGCATGGTGAACCTGGGAGGATTCTACCCCATCTGTCCTCGAGTGACTGCCGTGTTGTGTTTCCAGTTCTCTGACCCCACGTGAGGATCAGAGCCATTGCCATCTAGACTTTCCTCTGAAGTGCAAGACCCCTTGCATGGCAGTTTACCATAGCGTACTTCACTAAACACTGGGGGCCTGCAAAAGACCCCGCCCCCCCCCAAAAAAAAAAACTATCAGGGAACACAGGATAGAGTTCAGCATGATTGTGGGAGAAACTGGGGGAGCGGAACAGGAGCTTGTGGCTGGAGTGTAGTGATGGAGGCGGAAGAGGGGCTGTGCGCAGGGCTACCGGTCAGGGGGAGTGACAGGACCTTCTGATGGATTGATTGTGATAGGGTGAGGGATGCTGGATAGTGGAGGTGAGCCCTGCCTGGTGGTGGCCAGCGTGGAGGGGGAGGTTTCCGAAGGCTGGGAGTCCCAATCTGTGTTCCCTAAGGGAAGAGGTTCCCAGGCCGTCACCAGTGTGGGAGACCAGGACAGCAAAGTGAAGTCCTGGCTCCCCACTGAGCTCAGCAGAGACGGGCACCAGGGTGGTGTTTGTGTCGGTGGGTGAGCTGACACTGGAAGCAGATTCATAGAATTTGCAAGAGAAAACTGAGGTGCAATCCTTTGTGTGCCTGCTCTGCAAGGTCCCCGGCCAAGAAGAAAAACAAGTCTTCTGCCCGAAGAAGCAAATCTCCCCGAAGCAAGAGGAGTCGGAGTCCTCACCACTCAGCGGTCAAGGTGAAGCAGGTCAGTGGGGATGGGGTCTTGGGGTGGGGTCTTCCTCCAGAGGCTCTTCCTGCCACTGCCAGGGAGACAGCACTGAGACTGTGTATCTTTCTTTAATTGTCTGCTGGTTTTCTGAGACATTTTAACCCAAGCCCCGGTAGTTACCCTCTGCTCTTTTTAATCTTGAAGTTGCAGCCTCAGGACTCTTGGAAAAGGAAAGATTTTCCTCCTGCTGTTTGACACTCCAAGTGGCTGCAACAGCCAGAGCTGAGCCAGTCTGAAGCCAAGGAGCCAGCAGCTTCTTCTGGGTCTCCCAAACGGGTACAGGCTCCCAAGGTTTTGAACCATCTTCCACCCCTTTCCAGGCCACAAGCAGGGAACTGGAAGGAAAGTGGAGGAACTAGGACATGAGCCAACACCCATGTGGGATGCTGACGCTTGAAGGTGGAGGATTAGCTGCGATGGATCAGCTCGGCCGGGAGCAATCAGTTCGAGGGGAACAGGACCCCGGGAACGGTGGGCAAGGATTCAGCGAGTGACAGACAGATGCGACAACTCAAGGCAGTTTGTCTGAGTGCATTTTGCAAAAGCAAGGCATCAACTTATGTAGAATAGATTATTGCAAAGGGACATTTTCTTTGTTTATTCATGTGGTTACATTGCTACAAACAATTATTCCAGGGAGGTAAGCGGGGCTGTTGAGGGAAGATTGTTCTCTAAGCCTGGTGACAGACTGCAGCTGCTATTTCTTGTGGACACGGTTTGGCACCAGCTGCAGTTTTAATCATTAAGCGGTTAGCTCTCATTGTGCCTTGTGCCTTACATTGGTTTTAATATTAACCGGTCTATTCTCTTAGTTTTTTCCTGTGTAGTTTTTTAAGCCATAGATCTCTACTATAATCTTCTATGGAATCCTCAAAAAAAATAGTCCCAAGTAAATTTATTAAAGCTAATGACCTGATAGCTTTTATCCCATACTGCTTGCAATCCTTGTCCAGTCTCCTGTCAGAGAACTATAAAGGAATATTGAGCGTTTGCCGGGCTTAAATAACATTATTCCAGCCATAAAGATAAGAGCAAAGAGTACAGCGAGGGACGCCAAGACCACTAGAGATGCAGCCAGATCCAGGCGCCATTCTTTCCTGAAGCTTCCGCCTCGTCTGCTGATATTCTCACGCAGACTCCGCTCCAGGTGACACGACAGTTAACCGGGATAGCTATCCTGCTGGCCACTCTAAGCTTCTTTATTCTGGAATAAGTACTAGTTTAGATACATCTGTCAGAAATGAGACAGGTGTCCTCTACCCCGTGTCTGCCAGTGGAAGCGTGGCGTAGAAGTGTAGTAGCAGTGTCTCAATCAGAAAATATGACCATCTAGATAAAAGAAAAAGGAAAAACATTTTCACTGCGGTAAGGATTCACGTGTTGTCATTTTACACCCACATCCACTTTCCCACCTTCGTCCTAGCGACCTCTAATCTGTTTGTCAGTTGTGTCATTTCAAAATGCAGCCATATAGCTGTGGGAACTGGCTTTTTTTCCAGAGTGGAATTCTTTGGCGTTCCTGTTGTCGTATTGATCCGTTGTTTCCTTTTTGGTGCTGAGTGGTGTCTGTGGTTTGAATGTAGCCATTCATCCGTTGAGGAACATCTGTTTCCAGTTTGGGGCTCTTACACCTCAGACTGCTGGGTAAACATTGGTGGAAGGCCTATGTGTGAAGATGGGATTTACTGAGAGTATGGCTGCCAGATCGGGTAGTAGATGCATGCTTAATTTTTTAAAAGAAATTGTCAAGCTATTTTCCACAGTGGTTTTGTTAGTTTGCTAGGACTGCTACAAGAAAATATAGATGACTCAGATGTTAGGAACTTATTTTCTCATTGTTCCAAAGCCTAGAATTTAAAGGTGAAGGCATCAGTAGGTGTGGTTCACTTGGCAGAACAAACAAAAATCTTCCCTCGAGCTTGCAGGTGGTTCCCTTCTCACCACGCCCTCTCCTACTCTGCATAGACAGCCCTGGTTTGCTCTTAGGAGACCAGCACAGTCATTCTGACTCAAGCCAATGACCTCTTAATCTCATCTCGAAGTGATTTCATTTCAGGTCACTGCAGTTCGGGAGTTTGATTACATTCATTTTAGTGAGCACAGTTTAGTCCACAGCTGTGGTGGTACTTTTTTTCAAAAGCATTTATTCATTTATTTGAAAGAATTGAAAAGAGAGTAAAAGGAAAAGAGAGATCATCCATCTCTTGGTTCACTCTCCTAATGGTCAGAATGGGCCCTTGGGCCAGGACAAAGCCAGGAGTGTGCTACAGGTCTCCCGCATAGGTGCAAGGGCCCAGGCACTTGGGCCATCCCCTGCTGCTTTCCCAGGCGCAAGAGCAGGAAGGGAAGTGGAATAAGCGGGAATCCAATTCGTGCCCATATGGGCTGCCACAGTGTTGGCCCAGAAGCGCCATTGTAGCATTCCACCTCCACCGGCTGTGTGTGAGGGATTCAGTTGTCGGTATCTATTATTATTATTGGGAAGTCAGAAAGAGGAGAGACAGAAAGATCTTGGATCCACTGATTCACTCCCCAGGCATCCACCGAAGGCCAAGCTGAGCTGATCCGGAGCCAGGAGCCAGGAGCCTGGAGCCTCTTCTGGGTCTCCCACGTGGGTGCAGGAACCTGAGGCTTTGGTCTGTCTTTGACTGCTTTCCCAGGCCACAAGCAGGGAACTGGATGGGAAGTGGAGCAGCTGGAAAATGAACCTGTGCATATGGGATACAGCTCCCTGCTTGTGGTCTGAGAAAGCTCTGGAGGACGACCCAAAACCTTGGGACCCTGCACCCTGCAAGAAGTTCCTTGCTCCTTGCTTTGGATCAGCACAGCCCTGGCCATTGTGGCCACTTAGGGAATGAATTAGTGGATGTAAAATCTTCACTGTCTCTCCTTCTCTTTGTATATCTGACTTTCCAATAAAAATAAAATAATGCTTAAAAAAAAAATGCCCAATAGGGAATGCTGTTGTGGCATAGCACATTAAGCTACTGCCTCCCATGCCAGCATCTCAGATGAGTGCTGCTTCGAATCCTGGCTGCTCTGCTTTCAGTCCAGCTACCTGCTAATGTTGTGGGAAAGCAGCAGAGGATGGCCTAGGCATGTGAGCTGCTGCAGCCCAGGTAGGAGACCTGGTGCTTCAGAGTGCAGCTTCTTCTGAGTTTCCCGTGTGGGTGCAGCAGCCCAAGTATGCTCTGCTGTTTTGTCCATGCCATTGGCACACAGGTCTCAGACTAGCGCCCCTCTGGGATGGCAGAATTGAAGGTGTTGGCTCATCCCATAATGCTATAATGCCGGCCTTTTTCTTTGGTCTTTTATGCATTTTTGCAATGTCTGAAAAGACAGTTTTCTCTGCTGTTTATCCAGTTTAGGGTTTATTTGGTTTCTTGACTCTAAAAATAGATCCTTTCATTAGAAGTTTTGGTAGCCTGTCACCCAGTATGGGCACCAGTACAGATCCAGCTGTTTCACTCCCAGTGCAGCAGCCTAGATGACCTGGAAAAAGCAATGGAACATGATCCTAGTGTGTGGGGTGCTGCACCCATGGGAGAGACCTGGAGAAGCTCCTGGCTTCATCCTGGCCCGGCCCTGGCTGTTACATCCATTTGGGGAGTGAACCAGTGAGTGTAACATCCATCAGTCCATCTCTACTGGTTTACCCCGCCTCCCCCTCCCCCAGCTCTGACTTCCAATTAATGTTTAGAGGAAGAAAGAAAATTCTCTTTGGTTATTTCTGCAAATATATGACCTTTTTTTTTTTTTAAAGATTTTTATTTATTTTTATTGGGAAGGCAGATAGAAAGGAAGAGAAGCACAGAGGAAGATTTTCTGTCCGATAATTCATGCCCCAAGCGGCCACAATGGCTGGAGCTGAGCCAACCCAAAGCCAGGAGCCTGGAACCTCTTCTAGGTCTCCCGTGTGGGTGCAGGGTCCTAAGGCTTTGGGCCACCCTCGACTGCTTTCCCAGGCCACAGGCAGGGAACTGGATGGGAAGCAGGGCTGTGGGGATTAGAACTGGCACCCATAATAGGATCTTGAGCATTCAAGGTGAGGACTTTAGCCGCTAGGCTACTGCTCTGGGCCCCTATCTGTCTTGTTTAACATTTTGTTGAGGGAAATTTCACACGTCTAATATCTTTGTCACTCAAAGATATTAGAGTATTAGATATTTTGAGTGTTACTGTTTCATGTCTGTTCTTTTCCATGTCCCTCTTCTCCCTCAGATTATTTTGAAGCAAGTTCCGGATATAATGTTTCATCTATAAATATTTTAGCCTTTAGCTTCAGAAGATAAGAATTCCTTGACAGCCTAATGACTGGAGCAGGTGTTCTGGCACAGCCGGTGAAGCCACTGACGGGCACACCTGTGCCGGTGTGAGGCCAGGCTGCTCTGCTTCCTGCCGAGCTCTCTGCTCTTGTACCTGGGAGGCAGCAGGTGTGCTCAGGCACCCACATAGGAGTCCCAGAAGAGGCTCCTGGCTTGCTCTTTTTGTCATACAAAACTGAAGCCCAGTTCCATCAAACTATTCTCCCTAACCCCTGGCCACCACCAGCGTACTTTCTATCTCTCTAGATTGGCCTACTCTGGTCAGCCTCCCTCACCTTTGGTGAGATAGGTCAGTACTTGTCACTTTGTGTCTGACTTAACTACATGTCCTTGAAATTCCTCATTTTGTGACATCTGTCAACTTCCCTTTTTTAGGGCTGAATTCTTTGGGTCTTAAATTTTGCTGTGAACATGTGTGCATGAGTATCTTTTTAAGATCCTACTTTTTTTCTTTAAGAAAAAAAATATATATGGGTATAGATTTAGATATAGATACCGTTCGAAAGACACAGTTCTGGAGAGGGACAGGGACAGATCTTGCAGGCACTGACTCACTCCCCAGATGGTCAAACAGCTGCAGCTCGTTCCAGGTCTCCCACATGGGTCCAGGTTCCCAGGACTTGAGCCATCCAAACTCAGAGCTGGGTCAGAAGTGGAGCAGCTGGGGCAGGAACTGGCACCAGATGGAGTCCCGGTGTGTGCCTAGGCCTGACTTGGATTTTGTTAGGATATATACTTAGAATTTAGAAGTAAAATTGCTAGAACATACAGTGAAACTATTTCCCACAGTGGCTACCATTTCACATTCCTTCCAGTAGTAAACAAGGATTCCATTTTCTCTCCAATTAAATAATATCAGCCACCTAGTTCACATTTCTATGATTGGCTTATGATCTTTGAATAAATTTATCTCTGAAGCTCAGAATCAACCTTACCGTTCTAGATCTTGGTTCCCTGTAGGGTCCTGTTTCTGATTGCTCTTTTTCTCTCTCTTTTTTTTTTTTGTTGTTGTTGTTTTAAGATTTATTTATTTATTTTAAAATTTTATTTATTTATTGGAAAGTCAGATACACAGACAGGAGGAGAGACAGAGAAGAAGATCTTCTGTATGATGATGGTTCACTCCCCAAGCAGTTGCAGCAGCTGGAGCTGAGCCGATCCCAAGCCGGGATCCAGGAACTTCTTCCGGGCATCCCACACAGGTGCAGGGTCCTAAGGCTTTGGGCTGTCCTCGACTGCTTTCCCAGGCCACAAGCAGGGAGCTGGATAAAAGTGGAGCTGCTGGGATTAGAACCTGCACCTATATGGGATCCCGGCGCGTTCAAAGTGAGGACTTTAGCCACTAGGCCATGCCGCCGGGCCCAAGATTTATTTATTTTTATTGGAAAGTCAGATATACAGAGAGGAGGAGAGAGTGAGAAAGATCTTCTGTCCAATGATTCACTCCCCAAGTGAGCGCAACAGCCGATGCTATGCCGATCTGAAGCCAGGATCCAGGAACTTCTTCCAGGTCTCCCACACGGGTACAGAGTCCCAAGGCCTTCTCACTGCCAGGTTAGAGTGCTCATTGACGTCTGGCCCGTTTCTCTGTCTGGTTGCTGGTCGTGCTGCTGTGCCCTCACACTGCCAGGTTAGAGTGCGGTGTGTTGTGGTTTCTCCCGGGCTGATTTTCAGGGCTGGCTCTTTCAGGAAATTGTGATATGTTTTTGCATCTTTTAAGTTCCCCAATCCCCAGTAACGTGGCAGTTGGGAGTCTGGGCGTGATTTCTCCTCTTGCATCCCCCTCTCCCCAAGATTCAGGAAGAAGAAAATGTGAACAAGGGTCTCACCCACTTTCCCCTGATCCTCAACCCCTCCCTGATCAACTCTGTAAACATCATCAATGATAAAATTAAATTTTAAAAAAGGAAGAAGAAAGTCTTGAGCAGTGTCTGTCGATCCATTTTTCCAGGTTCTTTGATTTTGTGTCATCTTTCTTAAGCCTAGATATTGAGTAATTTGGATTACTGTTGAAATAGGGTCTTTTAAGATTATTGTGTTTGCATTTTGGTGTAAACGAGACAGCTAGCTGTTTTCTTTGACATGACTGTTGAGCCTTCTCTGTTCAGTCTTCTGCATTCTCTCCCTGCTGATTGACTGTTGCTACCTCTGTCGCACTGGGGCCACAGTTGAGAAGCAGCAGCATCTTTATAACGGCTGTGATTGACCTGGTTTATGTCGGGAGTTTTGCTCCGAATGCCGGAGTCCTAACCAGGAAGGCCTTCTGAGCGAGCGTAGGCTGCTCCCAGATGCGGGCCGCCTTTGATTCACTGAGTCTCTTTGGGTCTTAGGAACGTGAGGAGCACCCTCGGAGAGGACGGAACGAACGGCAGCATCGTGCGCCCTCAGAGCAGGAGCACCGGAGAGCTCGGGACAGCGACCGGGACAGGCACCGGGGCCATTCCCGTCAGCGGAGGAGCTCTCCCGAGCGGCCTGCGAGCGCACAGGCTCAAGGACGGGACCGAGACCTTCAGAGCCTGCAGGCTCAGGACGACGAGCGGGAGTTTTACAATGCCCGACGCCGTGAGCATCGCCAGCAGCACCAAGTCAGTGGCGGCGGTCATGAGTCGCAGGAGGTGGTGCCTCGACCTGCTGGCAAGAAAGAAAAAGTGGCACCTGTGAAGGAGAAGCCAAGCTTTGAACTCTCCGGAGCCCTTCTCGAGGACACCAACACCTTCCGGGGGGTGGTTATTAAGTACAGTGAGCCGCCGGAAGCACGGATCCCCAAAAAGCGGTGGCGCCTCTACCCCTTTAAAAACGACGAAGTCCTTCCGGTCATGTACATTCACCGACAGAGCGCCTACCTCCTGGGGCGGCACCGCCGCATCGCAGACATCCCCATCGACCACCCTTCGTGTTCCAAGCAGCATGCCGTCTTTCAGTACCGGTAGGTACCCGGCTGGAGATGCCAGCAGAGGCGGAGTGTCTGGGCTAACTCACATTAGTGAAGTTTTCCTTCATCTCTCTGGAGGAGTCCCATACCCTTGGATCTAACACTGGGCTTAAGGGGCATTGTGAATCTGCCTGTCCTGTGGATAATCACTTAGATTTGTGCAAGAACGTTGAACAGTTGTCAGAAGACCAGACTTATTAGAGTCTGCACCCGTGACATGGTAACTGCTTGCCCTGTGACGATCCACTCCGTAAGCCTCAGTCTCCACTGCCCCGTGTGCTGTCCAGAGGGCTGACCCTAACTGACAGTGCCAGGCGTCAGTGTTCGCTAACTCTGGTTCTGGACAGTGTGCGTGTTGGATCTGTCGCCATCTGCACCCTGCAGCAGTCTGTGTGGGAGCCGAGTGCCAGTGTCCGCTCAGCTGGCTGAAAAGGCCAGCGCTCGGCAGGGTGTGATAGATGGCGGCCATAGCGCAGCTCCACTTAAGAGCCAGCTCCCTCGCCTCCCAAGGTCCAGATCCAGGCAGGAGCCAAATACCTTCAAGTGTCATATACGCAGTTTTTTGCAGAATACATGGAAAATGTATATTATAAGAAAAAACCATGTGTGGATTCCAAAAGTTTTTTTGCCCTAAGAAACGCTCACAACACTTTTTTAAGCTGTTTTTGTACAAACTTGTCGAAGAGCCTGTGTATTTAAGCTGCTCCCTGTATCCCTGCTCAGAGCCCTGCTTTTCCTGACCTAAATTGAGTTCAGGCCAGGTGATTGGTGCCAGCGGGGCAGAGTGGGCCGAGGGCTCCATGGAGACTGGAGGAGGTAAGGCGAGCTTGTACTCACAGACTTCTCTTCTTTCTCTGCCAGGCTTGTGGAGTACACCCGCGCAGATGGCACCGTCGGCCGCAGGGTGAGGCCCTACATCATTGACCTTGGCTCAGGCAATGGAACCTTCTTGAACAACAAGCGCATTGAGCCACAGAGATATTATGAACTGAAGGAAAAGGATGTACTGAAGTTTGGGTTCAGTAGCAGAGAGTACGTTTTGCTCCACGAGTCATCGGATACCTCGGAACTAGACCGGAAGGAAGACGAGGATGACGAAGAGGAGGAAGGCGGGGTTTCAGACAGCTAGCAAACTGAGAAGCAGTCCACGCTGACGAGGCTCCTTCTCCTCGGAGGGCGTCAGGATGGACTCCAGGAGCGCCGCGGTGCTCTCCTCAATGCCTCTTGTTGCCTTAAGTCTTTCTTCCTGGCCAGCTTGTTGCAGTTAAAGGACACGGACTTGGGTTCGGCTAAACTCCTCTCTGTGGCGCCCCAGCCACATGCCTGTGGGCATTTGTTTCCAGAACAGTCTTCACCAATTAAAACCCACCGTGTTCTGGCAGACGCGTGGTGGCGTGAGTTGGCACTGCTTCGGAAACGAAGCCCTTGGCCTCCAAGGGGACTCTCGGTGTGTTCTCTCTGTACAGGTACTTTATTTATATAGTAGTTAGGCTTTGTGGGACAGGATTTTTGCTGTTCCTTTTGAGCAGTGGATCTTAGTAAGCTCTGGTTCTCAGCAGAACAACCTCCCATGTGTCCCAAAGCTTGGACCTGGTTGAGCTCTTGAGTCATTAACCTTTATTTGCACTTCGTTTTGGGGGGCTGGGAGTTTACCACATGACCTCGTTCTTGACTGTCAAACAGGTGCCTCGTGGCACCCTCTTAGTGTAGGACTGTGTGGGAAGATCGTGGGTGTGATTGAACAGCACGAGAAGCTGAAATGGGTCGTGACGCAGTTACGAGGAGAGAATTCCTGATTTCCCCCATGCAGAATGTACATAACAATGTTTTATCATCATTTGCATTCTTTACTTTCGTGTTTTTAATTCACATGTTACCTCTTTTTCTTTGAGGTGGCAGGGTCTTTGCTTTATTCCACACAGGATCAACATGTGTGTATGTGTGAAGGAGGGTCCGTGGCCTCCATACTTCCATACGTGTTAAAGCAGTTGTTCAAGGAGGTTGCATGGACCTTCCCAGGACTGGAAAGCAAGAGGAGTGCCCACTTTTCTTAATTTCCTACCAGAGAAAAGTGTGTGAGTAGAAAAGTAATTCACTGCTTGCACACAGTGTTTGTGTGTGTGTATATAGATGAATTGTGTGCTAAAGAGCTGCCTACTGATTTTCCTATGACAAGATTTTGTGATATAAATGTGCTACTATGTGATAGGCAAAGGCCTCCCTGCATTTGAAAAGCGGGTATTCATTTATATGTATTTTTGGGATAAAAAAAAATAAAATTTGTAAATATAGCCCCATTTCAAAGGATAATTCTCTCCTAGTGTAGCTGTGTGTTCATCAGTGCTTGTAGGGATAAGGAGGTGGTCGGGTCGCGTGGCAGACACCAGACAGCAGTGAGGGTGGGACCGACAGCTGTGCTGGGATCCGGGTCTCTCCTTCCGCTGCAGGGAGTGGGGTGGTGGTAAGGTGTTTCTCCTGCCTGGAGTGGGGCTCTGCCCACGTGCACAGTGGCCTTCACACCAGTGAAGGACCTGTCCACTCTGCTTGAGCAGGGGACGTGCCCGGCAGGAGAGAGGATGCAGCCCTGGTCCGTGCCGCTCCCGACTGTTCCTCCTGGGCTGAAACTTCTGAGGCTTCAAACTAGAACATGGTCTTCTCCATCGTCCTCACTTTGGTTTCCAGAGCTAAAGGTTGGCTTGTTTGGGAGTTGGGGTTGAGTGGAAGCAGATGGCTAGCCAGTGTCCAGAAGAAATTGAAAGATTCTCTTTGGAGAGCAAACATCTCTTTAGGCCAACCAGATGGAAGATGAGAGACACTACAGCCCAGCACTTGCACACACATTCCACATCAACCATCGCCACTGCTAGTTCCCTCATTTTGCTATGCACCCCACCTCCCATACTGCATGCGTGCATAACTTAAAAAGTAGATTCTGCTCTTGGTCCAGAAGGAGGCTTTTTTCTGGGGTGAGGCCCTCATGACCTCTCCAGGTCATTGCTGTTGTTTGAGCTGCTGCTGCTTCCTGGGTGCCTGCTCTAGGCTGTGCACAGCCCCCAGTCGGCACAGTGACATGTGACCACGTTGCCCACGTTTCTTCAGGATGAAATCCCAGGGTGTTGGGTACCCTGGCCTAAGGGGGGGGGTCACTGGGTCACTTCCTGGATTAGGCACTCTATACCAAACATCTGGGAGACTTCCAGTTTCCTTGATTTCAAAAAAGCCAGTTAAGATCCTCAAGATCCTCAGACTTGAAGCTGGCACAACTGTAAAATTTCTTCTCTTTTTTTTTTTTTTTTAAAGATTTATTTTTATTTTTTTATTGGAAAGGCGGATATACAGAGAGGAGAGACAGAGAGGAAGATCTTCCGTCCAATGATTCACTCCCCAAGTGAGCGCAACGGCCGATGCTATGCTGATCCGAAGCCAGGAGCCTCTTCCGGGTCTCCCACGCGGGTGCAGGGTCCCAAGGCTTTGGGCCGTCCTCGACTGCTTTCCTGGGCCACAGGCAGGGAGCTGGAAGGGAAGCGGGGCTGCCGGGATTAGAACCGGCGCCCATATGGGATCCCGGGCGTGCAAGGCGAGGACCTTTAACCACTTGCGCCACCACGCCGGGCCCTGTAAACTTTCTTAAAAGACATTCGGTTTTGATGCTGAAGCCCATCTTGGCTACGTCTGTGTCTCCAGGCCAGCTGATCGACCTGCGGATCGGCACTGTGACTGCAGCAGTGCCCAGCCCTCAGGCCCCAAGGCCCTGCAGCAGCCCCTGCACTGCAGATCTGGGGCTGAACCTGAGGGTTCCGCCCTCAAACCTATTAGACTTTGTCATAGTCCAGTCTAACATTGACAAAAGACACCTCACTAAATGAGGCTGATCATGTAACTTTGAAATACTGCTGACACATTGCAACAGAACTAATTGACATAGTAGAAGATAAAAATTTTTTGTATTGAATATGCCAGTATTTTTTTAAGATTCATTTACCCTTATTTGAAACACAGATTTAGGACCCGGTGTGGTGACTCAGTGGCTAAAGTCCTTGCTTTGCACATGCCAGGATCCTATATGGGTACCAATGCATGTCCTGGCTGCTCCACTTTCCATCCGGCTCCCTGCTTGTGGCCTGGGAAAGCTGCAGAGGATGGCCAAAGCCATTGCAGCCACGTGGGAGCAAACCAGTGGGTGGGGGATCTTTCTATCCTCTCGGTAAATGTCTTTCCAATTTAAACAAGAGGACATTTGATTGCTTTTAGAAAGTTTATTTATTTGAAGGGCAGAGCTACGGGGGGAGCGGAAAGAGAGCTTCATCTACTAGTTCACTTCCCAGATGGCCGAAATGGCTGGAGCTGGGCTGGTCAGAGGTCAGGAGCTTCTTCCAGGTCTCCGTTGTCTGCACAGCAGCCCAAGCACTTGAATCATTTTCTGCTGCTTTCCTGGTCTATTAGAAGGGAACAGAATCAGAAGTCGAGCAGCTAGGATCAGAACTGGTACCCTTATGGGATGCTGACACCACAGATGGAAGATTGGCTTACTACACCACTGCACTGGCCCCAAAACATTTAATTTTTAAAAGCTTATCATCAGGGCCCGGCGTGATGGTGCAGTGGTTAAAGGTCCTCGCCTTGCACGCCCGGGATCCCATATGGGCGCCGGTTCTATCCCGGCAGCCCGCTTCCCTTCCAGCTCCCTGCCTGTGGCCTGGGAAAGCAGTCAAGGACAGCCCAAAGCCTTGGGACCCTGCACCCGCGTGGGAGACCCGGAAGAGGCTCCTGGCTTCGGATCAGCATAGCATCGGCCGTTGCGCTCACTTGGGGAGTGAATCATTGGACGGAAGATCTTCCTCTCTGTCTCTCCTCTCTGCATATCCGCCTTTCAATAAATAAATAAATCTTAAAAAAAAAAAGCTTATTATCAGGTCCGATGCAGTAGCCTAGTGGCTTAAGTCATCGCCAGGATCCCATATGGGCACCAGTTCTAGTCCGGGCAGCCCTGCTTCCCATTCAGCTTCCTGCTTGTGGCCTGGGAACGCAGTTAAGGATGGCCCAAAGCCTTGGGACCCTATAGCCACGCAGAAGACCCGGAAGAACCTCCTGGCTCCTGGCTTCGGATGTGCTCAGCTCTGGCTGCTGTGTCTGCTTGGGGAATGAATCATCAGACAGAAAATTTTCCTGTTTCTCTGTCCCTCTTCCTCTCTGTATATCTGAATTTGCAATAAAAATAAATCTAAAAAAAAGTTCTTTCAAAAAAAAAAAAAACACTTGTCATTTGCAAGTTAAGTTAATACGTATTTTTAAAAATTTATTTTGAAACAGGGTTGTTCCATCTGCTGGTTCTGTCCCCAGTTGGCCACAATGGCTGGGCCTGGGCCAGGCTGAAGTCAGGAGCTAGAAGCTTCATCTGGGCTTCACACAGGGGGTACAGGAACTCAGACACTTGAGTCTGCTGTTGTACTTCCCAGGACCAGAAACAGGATCCCAGCAACTGGAACTGGAATGGGTACCCATGTGGAATGTTGGCATCACAGATGGCAGCTTAAGCTTCTGGGCCGCAGCACCAGCCCCACTGGTGGTTATACTTCTAACATCCTTCCCATTGTGGATTGTGTGTGGATCTGAGGAATAAAACCGTATCATGCTTGTGAATACAATTTTTCTGGGTATGTGAGTTTATGCCTAGTGAAAAGACTACTTGCTTTAAATTTAAAAGGTTTATTTATTTGAAAGGGAGAGAATGAGAAAGATCTTCCATCTTCCAATTCACTGCCCGTATGTCTGCAACAGCCAGGGCTCAGCCAGGAGCTGGGAATCTTGTCCAGGTCCCCCGCAAGAGTGAAAAGGACTCAAATCCTGGAGCCCATCATCCACTGCCCCCAGGGTGCACATCAGCAACAGAGGCGAGGCTCCATCCCTGGCACCGGGAGATGCAGGCCTCCCTAGAGGCGGCTTGATTCACCTCACAGTGCTTGCCTTGGGAAATGAAAGTGAGTAGATAAGTTTACATTTACGGTAAAGTAATGAATGAATCCAGTCAGCGGTTGCATACATTTAAATGCTAGCAGTTGTTTATGACAGCAAGAGGCAGAGCAGTGACTTGGAGAAGGGCTGTACTCGAATAGGCGACATTTGAGGTATGTCTTAGAGAACAGACTGTGAAGCAGTAGACCAGACGGCACAGCGCAAAGAACAGCAGGACCAAGCTACGTGGAAAGGGCCTGAAAGACCTGGGATGAGGAATGACACCAGTCCTAATTCGGGATCTTTGCTCTGGACTTGTCTTCCCTGCATAGTGGAGGGAACTGGTGTATCAACAGGGTGACCTGTTCACAAGGGAGTTGAAGGAGATCGCGGTGGAGCGGGACTTCATGGGTCGTGAGTGTCCCAG